TTTTTCAAACATCTTCGCATTCCGTGGCGTGTTTTCGGGAAATCGCCCATCCACGGCGTCCGTCGACTTGCCGCTCGAGCGGATTTCAGGGACCCCCAAGCCACGCTGCTGCAAGAGCTGGGCTTGGCCTATAGCGGCCTGGAAGGCCCGAGCCCTGGGTTCTCAACTGGGAGGGGGTGAGAATTCCCATCAAGTGGGGGTCAGGGCTTCACTTCTTACGTTTTCAACTGGGAGGGGGTGTGAATTCCCGTCCAGTGGGGTCAGGGTTTCACAACTTCTTGCAAGGAAGACTTATATAAATATCCAGGAAAATGTCTGAAGGCGGAAATCAAAGCACCCTTGGGCTTGAGTCTACCTTGGGGTAGTGAAATAGTGGAACCCTGCAGGCTCTCAAAGACAGTCACAACCATAACTAGTTGCGGCTGCCTTCTTAATTATTTTCCTCACGGTTCTGGGTCGACCATTCTAGTACCAGGTTTTGATAGTCACTCAAATGATATACTCTGGCGTTGAACTCGGACCGTCAACTTCCGGAACTTTGTTTGTGTTTCCAGCCGGGCTGACAGAAGTCATGCATGTACGCACCCACAGCAGACCATTGACAAACAGGGGTCCATTTAGGAACTTCTTTTTTTTTTCGGGGATTGCACAAGGCATCCCTTTATTCCCCCTGTTAATGGGTCTGTCTCAAAAGCTATGGAACGCACAAAGACCATTTCAGTCATAAACAACAGGTTTGGACTTTGGGCCATCCACTCGGGAAGTTCAAATAATTTTTGAGTGAAGCCAAAAGGGCGCCGAGAGCTTTTCGGGGTTCCGAACCACTGCTCGATGGTGCGAGGCTTCGATGAGGCCGCCTCGGTGGGCCAGGCGCAGCTGGGGGCGCAGATGCCCGGGCCCCGAGATGTGTCCAAGCGCTTGGATCAACCGAAGCCCAATGTTGAGCCCAGATTCATAAATGCCAGTTTATTAATATATGGGGGTGGCCCTGGTTTCAGTAGTTCATCACTGTTGGAGGGGAACCCCCCCCCCAATATTAATAAGCAGGGGGGTTATTAAGCCGGGGTCAAGGTTAGCAAAATCCCCCAAAGAACCCCCTCACGATTCCAACTTGTTTAACCAAGACAGATTAGTTGTTGCATCCCCAAAATGGTGGTTGGTGAATTCCCAATTGATGGGTAGTTCTTGCGGGTCCAGGAACGTTTCTCGAGCCTTTCGTAAACCGACATCTCAAATTTGGGGGGTCCCAAATGGTCTTATAGTCGCACCTTGTCGGATCTTGGATCACGCGGATTCAACCAACTGGTACCCTCAAACACACACACACACACACACACACACACACACACACACACACACACACACACACACACACACACACACACACACACACACACACACACACACACACACACACACACACACACACACACACACACACACACACACACACACACACACACACACACACACACACACACACACACACACACACACACACACACACAACACACACACACACACACACACACACACACACACACACACACACACACACACACACACACACACACACACACACACACACACACACACACACACACACACACACACACACACACACACACACACACACACACACACACACACACACACACACACACACACACACACACACACACACACACACACACACACACACACACACACACACACACACACACACACACACACACACACACACACACACACACACACACACACACACACACACACACAGAGAGCCATATGTTGGTTTGGTTGGTTTGGATGGTTTGGATCTCCGACCGCTTGACGTTTTCATATTGGTTTCCCACTTGGATCAACCTTGATCAGGTAGCCCCTAGTTGCGTAGTTGGTGGTTTGGATTTGGATTTGAACGCTTGTTCCTTTTCAAGGGTAAATGGGAAAACCACCCCTCTAATTATTTTTACTTCCAACCACTCCCAAGAGAAAATTGCAGAAGAAACAAACGCCCCGTAGCCACTAGCTGATTGTAACTTGTGGTTTCTTGTTTTGAGCTCCGTTAGGGGTGTTTTCACTCAACCTGTCCCTTTTCTCACTTCCTGAGTGCCATGTCGGACGGTAGTCACTTTTTGGGAAGATCATGTTAGTGGTAAACAAGCAACATAAACTTGTTTGGGCCCCGTCCACTCAGGAAGTGAGCTTTTGGGGGTTTCAAACATCACTTGTCCCTTTTTATGTGAATTTTCCCTGGCAGTCCCTTGGTGGTGGCTGTTGGGTCACCGTTTTGGTCATAAGCACGTCCCGGAAATCCAGTGCCCGAACTGTACGCTTTTTGGGTTTGGACCATGTGAGTGGTAAAAACTCGAGAAACATGGACTTGGGCCAATCCGCTCAACTTGGTTTCCATGGCTCCGAAAGGCTCCTTCCGCGTTTTCTCACGGCGGTTTTTAGGCAGAGCCAGCTGAAGCACCTGCTGGATACGGCTGACACCCCGCGCCCGGAGCCCCCGGATTGGGTCGATGGCCTCGGGCTCACTAGGTTGGGATTTCTCGGGAGTCGACTGAGTCACAAAGGGAAAATTGGAATATAAGAACAGGGAAATCGGAAATCTTGGAATTATGGGAAAATTGGCAAACATTGAAAAATGGAAATCCGAAAATAACACAGATGGGAACATCTTGGGAAATCCACATGAGGATACCAGATGCAAATGAGAATGTACCCATAGACTGAACATGGGATACCGGAAATGGAAATCTGAGAGATGCAGGAAATGAGAATTGGAATAACCCCGAGATAGAACATCCGGTTCCTATGGTTTCCTTTATGAGGGAATCCAGGTCCATTCCTTCCTTCCCGACTGAGCACCAGCATGTAATACCCAATATAGAGACTGGTATCCCTAGTTAAGGGAATTGGTGTGAAGAGTAGAAAAGTTGTTTGGAGCCTTTGGACATCATTAGGTTTATGAATTTATTAGCGGTTTTAAGGGAGGGGTGTTCACAACTTGGCCATTTTTGAAGCAGGCTTCCCATCCGGTTTTGTTGGGGTCAACTTTTTGGCCCAGAGGGTTGTTTCGCGGCATGTCGAGGACCACCCCAGGTAGCCCCAATCAGTGAGTCCCCCAATTGGATAGGACACCTTGATCTTCCAGGACCCTGAAAAAGCAGTTGCCTTTGGCGGATTTTCCATTTTCGACCCACTGCAAAATCAAGAAGGACCCTGTTTTGGCGGGCCCTTGGAAGACCAAGGACACATACTCCCAAAATCCTCTAAATAAGCCGTGTTGCTTTGAGGCGTGTGATGTTGATTGCAAACGCCATGTTTGGAGGTAATCTGCTCCCAAAAGAATCCTGTTGCTTTAAGCGTGCGATGTTGACCCCACACACACAACAAAAGAGGTAAAATAAATTTTAGAAGAATCAGAGCTCCAGGCATATGGTATTTTTTCTATCTAGTATGGGCGAGGAAGTGACGAATGACTCGCAAAGCCAAAAGGAAAAAGAGAGCGCAGACCGCATGGGGTCTTGTTGCGAATCTGATGCGTGCAGCCTTGCAGCGGTAAGTCTGGGTGTCACGGGGACATCGTGCAAGCAAGTCCTCTTTGAGGTAAGTCCATGAGCAGCCATGAGGCTGTTCCATGTGCTTAGTTTATCCAACTCTTACTGTCGCGAAAATGTCTGACATGGGGACTGCTCATTCTGTGTTGAGTTCCCTTCGAAAGAAAACGATTTGAAGTTGAGCAATCCTTGGGAAGAGGAACAACTTTGGCCTCCTGCCAGCCCACGAAAAGCTTCTTAGCTTCTTAGCATTGGAAGTTGCGTAGGGCACTTATTAAGTGGGGAAATCAATCGCTGATTGAGTGGGGTGCCATCCAAATAGTGTCTCTCGTTATTCTTGCTGGTAACCAGGGAATGTTTTAGTTTTGGAATGCCCCCCCGGAATCCTAAGGAACCCAGGTTTCCCACAACCCCAAATGTTGATTCCCTACTTAGATGTGCAACCAACTCAGCAAGTAGGTTATACCCATGGTTATAACTGAGGCAACTGGGGTCCCTGAGAAGAACTATGGTTATAGCCTGCTTCAGTTGGTGCATCCAAGTACATCCTCACTTCTGATGGGTGAAATTGTGCAATTCATCCAGAGGCCTTCAGGTGCCGAGCTATCGAAAACCAGAGAAAGTCATCTTCTCGACCCGCGAGGCCCTTTGGGGAGCCCTATGGCACAGGGGTTCTCACCGCAGGCGGGGCGGGCGACCAGGGAAGGAAGGACCAGCTTCTAGCTGGGTGCAAGGGGTTCCTTAGCTCACGCCCTGAGTTTCTATTTATACTTTAAGCTTGTTGGGGAAGACCATTTTGATGGTTGAAAAAGGTTTGGTCTTTTTTTGGCCAGTCCACTCAGAGAAGTGAGTTGCCGGGATTAGCAGGGTTTCCTTTTTTGTTGGGTGGGGGGAGGGCAGTTACCCCCGCTTACCACTCGCTGGCTGGTGGGTTGAGGGGGTCGGCTCGGGAGTTGGTATCCAAATAAGACCCGAGCCAGGAGTTCGGTATATATGTATATACATATGGTTTGCCGTCCCTGCTGTGGATGGACAAACTCCTGCACCACTTTGAAACTGTGTAATCATATGATTCCCTTGTAAATACCAACAAATAATTGTTTTTCATGGTTTCAACAAGGCGCGAATTGGATTTAATCCATCCACAGTCTGGTCATGCCGTTGCCCCCAAAAGTAGGGCTTCTGAACGGAGGTGCGAACTGAATTTCGCGTCCATCCAGAGTATCATGAAACCTGCCCGGAGGGTACTACTGTGTTTTTTTTTGGGGGAAGGTCCCTGAGCTAGGTATCCAATCAGGAAACCCGGGCACTACTTTGCTTTTGGGGAAGGTCCCCCCCTCCAAAAAGACAGTCCCAGAAAAATATGATAGCCAATCAAGGGTCAGGCAAAGCTTAGTTTGATGTTGGATTGGTGGTTTGGATTTGATCTGAAGCCCTGATTCTTGGTCACCAAACCACCGATTCGGACCTGGCTCCAAACCACCAATTGAGTTTGAGGCTGATTCAATTCAGGGCCACTTTCGGAGATGTTGTTTTAGCGTTCCTCTTTTATATACTGATTGAATACGCGCTTGCTATCCTACAGGGGTGGATCATCCAAACCATTTCCTCAATGGCAGCGTGGCGGTTGCAATGGCTCCGCTTTGGCTGTGAAGCGTATGGGTTTTGCACAGCAGGTGCTGTATGAGGCTCAGAACCCATCCAGTCTATGGTCAAGTTGGGAGGATTGTTGGGCAGACACTCTAAGTTCCCCACAACTCTCTAGTTGTCCAATGTGCAGGGCAACAGCACCCTAGGGTTCGACCCAATTTGAATGAATTTTCTGGACGGCAAGATATTGTGGTGATATGAAGCCAACTATTGCCTTAGTGGTGGTACCTGAACCCAAAGGCTTACGTTGATTCCACGTCACATCCGTTTGTCGGGCTGGCAAGCTTACTCGGCCTTCCATGAACCGATTCCCCCATTTGGGGAGGTGCCCAGACCCGCGAATGTCCAACTCAACATTGAAAATAGCCCCAACAAGAGTTGGCGAATTCCAGCTTTTTTTATGGGTGGTATGAGGGTCCAGGTGGTTCTACAGGTTCCCCAAAATTAGCAAGGTATGTGCAAACCTGACTAGCTTTGACCATGGAAAAGTGGTTCACCAAAAGTTCTTTTCGGATGAAACAGGCGCTGAGTTGTGTGTTGCAGCTTCGTTTTCCAGGCCAACGGTTTTCATGTTGCTGTTTTACAGCTTTTAATCAGAGAACCCACCGATTGGAAAATGAGAACCCCGGATCTAAGTAGAGGATGGGTGTTCCCTTTTTTTTTTCAAAATTCAGCACTTTTGGAGGGACCCTCAAAAAATCCCGTTTACTCGTTCGGGGTCACCATACCTGGAGCTTCCCTTGAAATATGTCCACCCCTCATAACAAAAGGGAAGCACCCTCAAGAACCCAGTTTGAGAAAAGGGAAGGGACCATGAAGCAACATGTTTAAACGCAAGCCCTCAAAGAAAGAAAAGGGGACAATGTCAGAAACTCATCAAAGCCATCATCGGAAAGGACAGTGATAACATCATTTCTATTCAACACCATCCACAAAGAAGTTAAGATACTAAAAGAAAACCACAGAAGAAGTGAGCCACAATCACAACCCGGGTAGAAGAAGATCGGTAAGATGCGTCAGTGATGAGGTTCATTTCAGCAGAAAAACCATCCCACAATGAAGTAAATATATCATTTTTCCAGAACAAAAGAAAACCACCTACAAGAAGACACGCCCTAGTATTTAATTATCATAAGTTATTATCATCCCCCCCTCCCCCCTCTCTTTGCCCCCCCCCCCCCCACCAGCCACCAGCCACCGGTCGCCGTTGGCTCCCCCCTCCCTCCCCTCCAGGCGTGGGGCGCCAGCAGCCCCAAGGCGAAGGCCGCCTCCACCAAGCCCTCGGAGCTGCGGCAGCCGGGGCTCGGAGCCCCGGAGCCCCGGTCCGATGGGTGCGAGGGGCGAGCGATGTGTGTCTGGACTCCGGGGGAGCCGGGTTTTGCTATTATTGGGAGCCCAAAGCTGTTTCTTGACCCCGATTTTTTTTTTTTGGGGGGGGGGGATACCTTTTTTAAATCTAATTGTTTATTTATGTTTGTTTTTTTTGTGCAGGGGGGGAGTAGCAGGTAACTGAGGTAGGAGTTGCTTGGCTACCATTGTTTTTCTGGGAAATGGTTTTGACTCCCAAAATGCGTGGGATCCAGAAAAATCGGCTGTTTTTGTTGCTGGTTGATGTTCTTGCAGGTTGGAATCAAACCCACTTGAGTTTATGGAATACTTTTGGGTTTGGACCATGTAGTGGAAAATGCCAACTTCGGACATTGTTTAGCCAGTCCACTCAGGAAGTGAGCAAAATGCTGAAAGGTTCCTCAAAGAGATGACCAGGTGTCTTAGGTTGCTCACTTAGGCAGCTGTTTGGCCTGGCTTCCCTTACCCTAACACCGACAAACAAACACAGGTCTTTAGGGTTCCTTGCCCCCATCAAAGCAAAGGCAGGGACCCAATTTGGATTATGGCAGTCCTTAGGCAAACCATGGTGGTTATATGAACCCCTTGTTTCAACCCATTGTTTCAATGGTGGTTTGAACCCCGGGTATGTGTCATGTTTGCCACATCCAATGCGGCAACTTCGATCACGGAGCATGGACATCTGGAGATCGGTTGGAGGCCAAGCAGGAAGCATTTGATGACTACCTCCGAGTATTTGTCTCAATTCAGTGAACGGGGTAGCCCACGACCGAATAGACTACTATGGCTCTGAGATGGCGCCCGGCGAGACAATTACAGACTGGATGCCATCGTGCTCTGGTGGTCCTCGGTCCTTCGGGCAAGGGTGCGGAATTGCTCCGTAAGGACCTTGTGGGTTTACAAACGGATGCATCTTTTTTGAGGGAAGCCAGTTTACTGGGCAACAGGAAAAACCACACAACACGGAGGAGGGGTCCCCCAAAAGCAGACACACCCCCAAAAGGGGAATGGTGAGCCCCCTGCGAATTCCAACAAACAACCATTGTTTCAAAGTTGTGCAGGATGTTGCTCATCCACAGCCATGGAGCACGGGCAGGGGCCAACGAATGACCAACAGATTTCCCCTGTAACGACCAAATGTGGTTTTACTGTACCCCACAACCCCATTCTAAGGTAAAACAAATCAACTAGCCCAGGAACTTTGACAAAGTGAAGGCCTTTGACCCCCAAAGACCTCAAACATATTTCGGTCTTGGGACCCCAGAATTGCATCACAGTATTGGATCTTCAACCCGCAGATAAGCTGGTAAGCTGCCATGGTTGCCCCTGGCAAATGGGGCAATCTCGCTATCCAGCCCAGTGGATCTCAGAACCCATATAGTACCGGCTATTTTCCTTTTGGTGTTAAGACGGTGGCGAGCCCTGGGTTACCTTTTTTTCAGGGACGTGGGTTCACTGAGCGGAGCTAGAACCTACCTGACGCAGGTTGATGATTGAAGAGAAGGAAGCAACTATGTTCGAACATAAGGAGAGTCCCCATGCCGGGAACCGTGGGAAAGCAGATTGGAAAAGAAGGGCGCCGGCTTTTCAACGGAACCAACCACGGAAGAAAATGCAAAAGAGGAACCAGGACCCTCCCAATTCCCTTAAGCCATGTGTTTTTGCCCCAAAATGATGTGGTGAATTCCCTTTGCCACGGGTACCTGGAGTCTCCATGACCTTCAAAATAATGGTTGGTCATTACCCAAAAACCTGTCTGCTGCTGCTTCTGATGAGTCTTCCTGATCTACCATCGACTTGTCCGCATAGGTGAAGATGGTCTTTCCATGACTCCAGTTCTTTCGAGCCCCAGCCGTTCACGTCTCACGCGAGGCCGGAGTACCGGGGCCCGCAGCTGGAGCCGCCGGACACGCCCATGACCTTGGACTTCGCCCGGAAAGCCCAGCGACCGATCCCGCTTTCACCTTTGAAGGGGGCGCCATATACAAAATCCGCAGGTTTTTAGGGCATTTTGCGTATTTTGACGCAAAGCCGTGTTCCCTTTTGGTGGTTTGAACGCTGAATAATTTAAGGGGGATACTGTTGACCTCATATTCATAGGGGGGTGTCAACCTGGGTGAAATGTCGTTGGACTTAGACCACTTTTGAGGGGAACGGTATGACCATACTGTGGACGGATGAAATCCACAACGCACCACGTTGAATCCATGGGAAACCAATCATTTGTTTGTATTTACAGGGGAATCATATCATTCCAGGGTTTCTTAGGTGGTGCAGGATTTCGTCCATCCACAGTATGGGGAGTCCTCCGAAAGGTCCTTGTATTAAGGCATTTTTTCTTAGTCTTGCCCTGTTTCGCAATGGAGTTCGCGAAAGTTGTTTGTTTCTCGCGAAAGTTTTGTGTAAGGGTGGTTTGCAAAAAGGAAGATGTATTGGTGAACCATATTGACCAACCCCAGTTTATTCATAGGGGAGTAGGGGCCCCTTCAACAGTGGTCTGATTCCAACCACAGTTCACCCAGGTTGACACCCCCTGTTAATAAAATGGGGTTGATTAGTATGGGGTCAACGGTCAATAGTCTTAACATCCGCAGCTTTTTGGGGCATCCCCGTATTTTTTGACAACCCATGTTACCCTTTTGGTGATTGGACACATCAGCTTTGTCTGGCGCATTTAAGATGGGTTAGGAAGAGTTTTGCCTGAACATCTACGGTGGATACAGGGATCCCTGGGCTTCCCGGATTTATGAAGCCTTAGTTGGATGTTTGCGTCTCTATCCTCCACGTTCAGTAAGCCACTGTCAACAAAAGACCAACAACTGGTGAAGGAGCGCCTTGTGCTAGCTTCAGAAATGACAAACGGCTCATGTTTTTCACTTCGGCGCCTGCAACAGGGGCCGCCGCAGGTGTACGGGGTAAAAGGGGGTGGCTCGTCTTTGTTGAGGGCACCAGGACCCTGGAACCACCCACAGAAAAAGAGCTCACCCCACAATGTTGGGGCAAGAGCAAATGTTCAAGGGAATTTCGAGGGTCCGGGAACCTTTCTTTTGGTGAGCCCCCCAACGTGGCATCGTTTTGTTGGGTTTCCCCAACCGAGGTAGGGTACCCTCAAAAAAGGACATACTTGTAGTCATTGCAACCTTCCGTAGGGGGAATGTCAATTGTTGTATGCTCACGTAATTGCCAAACTGTAGTCAACCTTGCAACTTCCCGTGCTGGCACCTGCTGAACATCGCAACGAATCGGCTGCACTTGAAACAGGTTGAAAAGGGGTTTGGCGTCCTTTGATTCCTTGAATGTCTTTTTTAAGGTTGCTCCCCCAAAATGCTGGGTTTTCCCTTTGGTTTCCCTGCATGACCATAAGTTTTAATAGCGAACCGCCTCAAAACTGGTTGGTGGACATGCATCCCCGCCCGATTGATGTCCACCAAATGGTCCAAACCTCATACCAACGTATACCGCACGCTTGCGAACTGGGGATATTGACGAATTGCAAAGCTGGGTGGTGATCCAAGTGCCTCCAGTTACCATTAATTATATGTTCGCCATATATGGCTGTGCTTGGACTCAATAAAGTCTCTCGATCTGCTTTCCAGCCTGGATTGCGAAACAACCTTGTGTCTTACCCAGGTATGGTCAAAGCACCTTTATGTGGGTTTAGTAGCTTGGTCATAGATGGGGAGTTCAGATAACCATTACAGGGAGCCCCTTCGTGAGGGTCGTGGGTTTGGTTTGAAGAGAAACTAAAGGGACATGATTTTTTAAGGTTCCCTCAACAAGAAGACGTGCCTATGGGAAGTCTTCGCAAGGAAACCATCTTGGAACTTGCAACTTCTTGGGTGGTCATCCAAGTAGCGGAGGTCATGGGGCTGGTCCGTCACTTCCAGCACCACAAGACGACGCCGCTGCCCGCGCGGTATTTGTGCAGGCTGGTTTTGCAGATCAACAAGTCGAAAGGCAGTTCTCCTTTTCGGGCTTTATCCTTGGACCTGCGGCCTCCTTAGTCTGTTGCAGCCCAAGCAAGAGAGCACCTAACCTTTGTCCAGCGTGCCCTTTGATTCTTTTGAGGAGCCACAGCAAGTCTCAGCCTGTTGGACGTGCGTGTGTTTTTTTGTGACCACAGTCAGAGGCTGGCAATTGTTTGAGCTCATTCCCTTTGCAAAGCTCGTGCCCTGTGTCACTTGCCCTTCTACAGATGCACATGGAAGAACAGAACTCACCCATTTGTAGAGGAAACTCCTTTTGGGAATTGGACCTTTATGCCAAACTTGTAGGGCAGTGCCCTCAAAAAGAAGGGGTGCCCCATCTTGAGTGCCCGAAACGGGGTGTCATGCTTTGGAGCCCGACTTTTCACATGGGGTTGGACCCTTTGGTTGCAACTCGACGACTCGGACAACATAAAGATCTCTGGGCCTGTCTCTCTGTAGGAAAACCCCTTTTTTGGTGGCAAAGGGATACCAAGAGGAATACCAGTTTGCCGGGTCCCCCAAAAAAAGACACATGCGATTCCTCGTATGGCTGTGAAAATTTTGAGAAGGAGCCAGCTCCAGAGTTGGACAAATTCATCCAACAAATGATGCCAAAGGGTGCAAATTTTGCAACTCACACCTGTATCATGTCATATCATGTCTACCCCGTGAAAAATACCGGGGGTTCGTTTGCCTTTATAGGTTTTAGATTTCCATGTGTTGTATGACTCTGTTTTGCTGGTTCGTCTTTGTGGTAACCCGTACTCTTGGACCACCAAGTAGGAAGTGGTTAATATCCCCCCACCAGCACCCTGCGACCACCGTCTAAATTTTATTTTCGGAACTACCGGGTATTTGGCAGTAGTTCCAAAAATAAAATAAACGACAGTAGATCCGCGATCTACGGTCGTTTCATGTTGCCCCAAACAGTGAAAAACAAGACCGCGGGGTGACACGGTGACACGCAGGCGACACGGGGTGACACGCCGGCGACACGGAGTGACACGGGGTGACACGGGGGCGACACGGGGCGACACGGGGGCGACACGGGGGCGACACGGGGGCGACACGGGGTGACACGCTCAAACGACAGTAGTTCGCATCGATCTACTGTCGTTCTGGGGGGGCGACACGGGGGCGACACGGGGTGACACGGGGGCGACGCGGGGGCGACACGGGGGCGACACGGGGTGACACGCAGGTGACACGCAGGTGACACGGGGTGAAACGGGTGACACACTGTGAGGCGCTTGCTGCACTTGCTGCCACCCCTTGATTGCTACCACCCCTGCTATGGCATCTCCCCGTTGTAAACAGTAGCTAGCAGTAGTTAGACTATGGGCATCCCGCAAATAAAATAATTGACAGTAGTTTTTCTAACTACGGTCGTTTTTGGAAAATTTCTATCTACTGCCGTTTGGGCAGTAGTCGGAGGGTGCTGGCATGTTCATAACCCCATTTCAGTGGGATTGATTCAGTAAGCACTTACTAAGTGGGGCGGTCATCCATATAGGTTGCCTTATTAACTGGGAGGTGTGCATCACTTGCCCATTCAGGCGGCGAAAGTGCCTCCAGTTACCGATTCGACTTAGCCGAAACGGGGCCCCTCTCAACATAGGGGACCCTAAAAATGAGTGGTTCTCCTTTTTGTTCTCCTTCAACACCACCCAAACAAGTTTAGTTTAGCCTAAAAAAACCAACCAACACCCTATCATTTGGGTGCGGCTCAAAACTAAACAGGAGGGGTTACGCAGGTTTTGGTCCATGTTTCACTTTCCAGGGCAACCCATTTTGGAATTCTGTTTTTTTTTAGCCACAGCCTGGCTTGATTTGAACTTCACAAGGTTTCATGATCCTGCACCGGGTTGGCGGGAGCCGGGCGTTGCTTTCCTTCGAAGAGAGGCTCCTCGATGACGCGGAGCGGATCTTGGAAGCTCGGGACTGACGCGGGGCTTTGCGTCCCAGTGAATGCTCCCGGGGCATGTCTCTGTGTGTGTGGGGATTCGGACCACTTGTGAAGGGGAACACCTCTTCACACTTTAGATGGGCGAAATCCATTTTGCACGACCTAAGAACCCCGGAATAATTTGATTCCCTTTATAAATACCAACAAGCAATGATTTCGTATGGTTTCCCCGTGCACGTTTTTCGCCCAGTCGAACAGGTTCCACGATCCAGGTCAACCTCAACAGCGAATATAAATTCTCGAGGTAAGAAATGCATTTAAAATCGGGTCAAGCCAGAAACCAGGGCCGTTCCCTTCCAGAGGGGTGTTTTTTTTTGTCCAGTTCCGCCTAACCCATCTCTTCCAGTTTAAGCAGTCAGGAGGGTCCACTTACATGGTCGGCTAGCCGCGTACCATGCCCACTGACTGGGCTGAACTAGTTGTCTCCACACGTGTGGGAATTGTTTGCACGATATGCAAACAACAGGAGGGCGGAATTATTTGTTGTTCTCGATGGCGTTGGGTCCGTGGCCAAGCCCTATGAGGGGCGTGCCGTTTCCCTGCCTATTTGAAAACGAGCTTGCCATGATGATGGTCCTTTACTTGGGTGTTTCTTTTTTTGTCTACCCGCAACTTCAAGGTAGTGGGGTGAGGGGCATTAACTTCAGCAAATGCGCACGCCGCCACCCGCGAGACACGCGGAAGGTTTCGATCGTGCAAGCTTCGCGGAAGCTTCAAGGCTGCGGAAGGGCTCGGAAACAAGCGAAACATGCATCGTCGCGTACAAGAATGCGGAAGGGTCCGTGCAAGCTTGCATGCCCAAGAAAGCTTGCAGATTGTAGTAACTAGGCAAGGGGAATCCTGTGGTAAAACCTGGAGTAGAAAGAAGCCTCCGGTTGCCGCCGAATCAAATTTGGCTTGCCGGGAAGCACCCCGCGGGCAGCCAGCAGGGTAGAGCGCCGCACATGGGGCAGGACAAAGATGGCCCGGTGCACCAGCTCAGTTTGTCGGGGGCCCCTGGCGGGTTTCGGACCGAGCGCCACGAGCAGGTTCACTCAATACGCGCGTTTGGGTTGGTTGTTTTTTTTTTTTTTGGGGGGGGGGGAGATTTTTGGGTTGGGTTTGCTGGGGAACCGCCAGGAAACAAGCAGTTTTGCGGGTTGCCCTTGGAGACAAGCCCATATTATGTTGATAATGGCTGAGAAAAAGGACGTCTCAACAATGGGCTGAAGACATGTGTGACTAGTTGTTGGCCGACATCTAAAGGTTGTCCTATCACATCCTGGGATTACACCCAAATAAAATTACGTAAAAGTACCCCTAAATAACCACATTAATCAACTATGGGTCATTCGCCAGAGGGCGTAATTCCAGGTTTCCTACAACTCTAAGGCTCTTGACCCCTCCAAGGCAAACCCCGCACCCTCAGCACATGTACGATTTATGGCGCTTGACAACCCGAAACAAAGGGCCAACAACTGGAACCGGGCTTTGGGTATGACATGGAACCTTTGCGGGAACAGGGCATTTCACTTGGAAACGTAAAGAATGTCCAAAAGCCTCTGAAGTGGGGAGAACCGCCTCGGCTGAGAATTGACTAGGCCCCCTGCAAGTCGAAAATCTTGCAGGGTAACAAAAAAGGGAAGTTCCTTAAAGCTCCAATTCGATTGCTTTTCGAAAGGCCTGATAGAATTGTAGCGAGCCCGGCGGCCAGAACCAATGGACTGAGGTGTCGGATGATCCAAGAGCCCATTCATTTTTGGATCTTCCAGTGGATGATTTCTAGCTCCCCCAGTAGGGCCCTTTTACCAACTTTTTTGCGCGAGGGTTCCCCCACTAAAATAGACAGAGAAAAGGATACCCTTATTCTAACCTCTCTACTGCAGGACCTAGATTTCTTGCGCAGGGCCATCGCTTTTTGCAACTGCTCACCGTCTCACACACTAAGATCCCGACGACCTGCTCAACTGTTTGTTTTTTTTCCAGCGACAGAGGGTAGCCCACAAACTGAGTTTGGGGCGACCCCGTGGTTTTTGGCTGCGTTTGTGCTTTCCAGTTCCATTGCCTCGAATCTGGGAAAGTTCCGGGGTGATGGGCGGATCCAGGAAATGACTTCTTGCAGACTTGGATGTTCAAACAACGGCAGGTGAGTAGGTTATAAACATGGTTGTATTTGGTTTATAATTTAATTGGGGTTATTCACCGAGAATAACCATTGTTGCAACTTCCTTGATGTTGGTTGAACATCACAAGTAATCCTGTGATGGTCGTACAGCCCCCTGTTTCAGACTTGTCCCATCGGGTTCACATATTAGGCCCATAAGCCACTGTCCAACTGCAGAGCCCTCAGGTCGCAGTGGGGTGGGGCAGGCAATCGACCCAGTGCTCCACATGGCAAATGTTGAATGTAGGTCCCTTCACCTGACCTAATTTGAAGGGGAGTGAGACGTCAATGTTCTCTTTGGGTTCCCCAAGCGCTTCGGCGCTCCCTCGCGGAGGTCAACCCGACGCACGAGACCCAACGAGCCCGATTCCTTGGTCATCGTTGGGGAGCGGTTTTCGGCCGTCGCGTGGATGATCCTCCTGAATTTTCGCAGGCGAGTTGTGGGGTATTTTAGTCGCACTCAAGAGAACCATTAAGTTGGGAATTTTATCAGGCGAGTTGTGGGGTACTTACGTTAAGTTGGGAAGCTTAACCGCAATGTAAATGGGGCGGCAGTCCAAGTGCAGACCATGCCCTCCAAGAACGCTCCCCAACAGGACTGGCAAGGCCTGACAAGGGCTGAATATATGAAGGCCTGGACAATCACATGATCATGACATTTGGTTTCACCCAAGGCCCTTTCGGTCTTTGGCCTCTAGGCAAGTCGGGCCTTACGGCTCACCCGGCCACAGCTTAGCCAGGCATTCGACCGCAAGTTGCTTGGCTTCCCTTGGTGCCCGAATTTGTTTAGCAGGGTCACTGAGGAACAACCGCATGCCTGGACCCTCAAACCACTCAGAAAAAAATGGGAATTCATTCACCAACCAGGATATTGTATTGCAATAACCCGATGTTTACATGGTTGTTTGAGGGTGTAGGTGGCCATTTGTTGTAGCCAAGGCTGTATGGACAAAAAGCGCATGTGGTTTTCCAGGACTATTTATGAGGCGAGATGTTGTTTTCCCTGGGGGGAACACTCTGCAAGATGGTTTGTGAGCTTGCATTTTGCATGTTCATGTAAGCCATGGCCATGTCCCAGTTCTATGTTTGCCGAGCCAATTTTCTTAGCTTCAAAGGCTTCTCTTGGTTGCCTCAGGTAGTTGAAATCAGGTTTTTGTTTCTCATCTTTTAGGATCCTCGACTTGTCCTTTTGGTATCCAAGCTGCGAAAGGGTACCCTCAGCAAAAGCCACCCAACGGCCCTCTACTGTTGTTGGCACGTGTTTAGTTATGTTTTGGGTTTTGTTCATCTTTCGCACGCTGGTTTAACAAAGCAGACCGTTTTTGCTGCGCGCTGCAAGTAGGAACCACAGACAGGTTTTGTTGCAAGCCCATAAGTCAAGTGCTGGGCCCTGGGGATATGTTTGTTTTCTTCGATGATACCAGGACCTCCATGGGCAGCTTGCAGACCTGCTCTGGATCTTTTTCAAGGCGCGGAAAACTCGATCGATTGCGCGGAATCCGCTTTCGGCGCAAGGGGTTAAGGGGGGGAAGGGGGCCCTCGGAACTGCGCATGAAGGCCGAATTTAGTAAGTTTCGAGCACTGGAAAGTCCTGTAGGTTCGGTTTTTCAGGATGGCACTTTCAATTTGGTTCTAAACATCCAGTGCCATGAGTTGTTTTTGTCCAAACGGACGCCTATGGCGAGTATCCCTACCAAGTCCCTTTGCGATGGTGCAATTGGGACATATCCCCTCCCCAAGGTTCGAAAACGCTTCGAGGGATCAGAACCTTCTGATTTCAATCTGGCAACAGATCTCTGATCTATGCGTGTCAACTTGTTGGCCTTCGGTTGTTTCTTCCTTTTCCTGTCAGCTGGCAATTGGGGTGTCCTCCATTCTTTGTTGGAATCCCTAGTTTATTGATCAACTTTTGATTAGAGGTTTTCGAAATGTCAAGGATGAATGGGGGGTGGGGGTTCCAAGAGATGACCAACAAAATCTTGCTGGTGCTCAGTAGAGAATACCCCAGGTTTTTGGGAATCAACCTAGGGATTTGTTGCTAGGATACCATAGGGGATGGGTGCAGGGGTTCTTCTCTCATTCTCTGCCGAGAACCAGCAAAAAAACAAACCGCCCCGAACCCCACGCTAGGTTGGGCTCGGGCAAGAAGTGTCCTGAATCTCCCTGGATTTCCGTGTTTGGTGGATCCAGGCCAAACCAAAACTCAGAAGAATGCCCGTCATGATCTGTTTTTGGGGTCGCTTTCGGGGATTCCAAAGTACCTCCTTTCAATCTTCTTGCATCAACTTGGGGTATGGTTGTCTTTGCCACCGTGGTGTTTGTTACCACTTGCATGAAGACCTCAGTGTAAAGCACTTGTGTTTGGCATCCGAAAATCCGAGAGTTCAACACCCCAAGAAAGCCGTCGGGTATTGGGGGGAATGATTCGCGTCGCCGAAGAAAAACGGACACCCAAGGCCATGAAACAGCATGCACCATACACCAGGCAGGCGACAGGATTGGAGCGAATCTAAGGCTCATGGCCGTTCCTTCAAATCCGAAGGGGCACCTAAGGAGGCCTCTAAGGAGGCCTTGAGAATCGGGACATCTCAAAGAGTTGGCAACATGAGACTGGGCAAAGCAGTTCTTGGATGACCCTATTCAGGTGTTGAGAATCCCTTTTTAAAATGTGTCTCAAGTGGGAGGTACATACAGCCCGCTTAGGGGTGTTGGCCACTTGTTTTATTGCGGCTGTCATCTAAGTGGTACAAGGGACGGTTACCAAAACACTCAAGATTCCCTCAAACGCGGGTCAGTGCCCCAAACGTATGCAGTGAATTCCTCATTTGCTTGGGTTGTTGGAGGATCCTGGTAAAGATGACTCCAATGATAACTCTGTTGGTTTCAAACTCCCCAAGCCGATTCTCATGATTTAGGCCTTTTTTGGGGCGGGTTCCCGCTTCTTGGTTGGTTAAAATGAAACTAGAAGGAACCTTCAAGCCAATGGGAAACGATTCACCCATGTTTTGGTCGCTGAAAAAAACCACGGGCGATGTTCGAAGGCGCTAATTGCTGTCAGTGAACCCTCAATTGGTGGTTTGGTTTGGAACTGTGCATGTGGAGATGAATCCTTCCACGGCTCTGGACCCTCTTCGGAGTTGCCAGAGTCACCGTAATTATGCATGCTGATGGTGGAAATGAAGCCTTGGTTGCGGAATAGGCAGCCAGGCCCAAACCTCCGCTGGAGTGTGGGTTCCTTTTTTTCCCGAAGGATCCCCATGACACGGGCTTAGGACAACCGACATCCATGTTCGCCATGTTCGGCAAACCCGCCCATATTTTGACACCCCGATGAAGCTGGCAATTCTAGGAAACGGTCTGGATGTGGCGAATCTGTGGATCCACCCCCGTAGGATATTACAAGAGTACTAAAAGAGTACCAGAAACCGGACCAGCAGGGCGAAATCCACAAGAAGAGCAAATCCAAACCGTTTTGTGGATTGATTCCCCTATAAGATTTGTCCCAAATGGCTGGTTTTCGTTCGGCTTCCTAAGCAACTGGGATCTTTTTGTCCGGCAGGTGGGCGTGCCCTCTCCCAGCAACCGCTACTTGGTGAACGGAGACGTCTGCGACCGCGGGGAAAACGCCACGGAGATCTGGGCCTTGCTGCGGGGAAGCCGAGAAATTCCGCTCTGAAACGCCTCCCGGTATGGGTCACTTCCATTTGCTTATTTGTTTTTGTTGTTTACATGTTCCCCTGTTGGTTTTAAACGGAATCTATCACTACTGGATTTGTTTAACATTTATTTCCAGGGGAGCAAATGGAGGGTCAAAATTAAACCACCAGGGGACCGCAGATATTTGTCCATGTCGCCATGTACCAGGGTTCCATTTTTGGTACCTATTTTTGACCCACTACCATCTCCCGGTGAGTTGCGACCGGTTTTCGTTACCCCTTTTAACTTGCAGGTGCGATAGGGAATGTGGCAATGAACCCAAAGATTCCCCGAATAAAGGAAACGGGATGGTTTAAAAGGTCATTCCCTCATTCCCTGCTGATCACCAGCAAGCTAAAAGGAGGTTTCCTTTGAGATCAACTGCCAAACAAAGAGTGCCTACACCCTCCAAAATTCCAGGAAAAATCGGTGTTTGCTCACAATTTTTGGGGTGACATGTTTTTTCATCATGGACATCCACTGGCGGTGTAATTGCAGACCCGACATGCTGACCATGATCAGCATTTGGGATTCCTCGCGAAGAGCATTTTGGATTCCTCGTTAGAGACTTGTGGCTCCCCTGGCTCCGAATCATTGGAGTCTGAAACGGGCATGGCTCAAAATCAAAGGATTGGCAAAACCGCAGGTTTTAGTCTTGGGATACCATGGAGAGATTGCACAGGCCCTTACAGTCGCGAGCAACCCCCTCAGATAGATGGCATCCAGCGGTACCTGTCTCTGCACCAAGCTACTAATTCAGAGCTATGTGGATGGACAAAACTCAGAACACGCCTCACGAAATGAAACCATGTTTGAAACCATAACGTCTGTTGGTATTTTTGATCTCATGATTTTAAAGAGACCCCCAACAAATCACCAATGTGCAAAAAGGTGTTTCCTCGAAAACAGACAGCCGTTTTAATTCTCGGGGAATCATCAACATCCTTCCGTTGGGTTTCTTAGGTCCGAGAGGGATTTTGTCCATGGACCTCCCCTGGGCTGGTCCCTCGCTCCTTTTTTCTTTTTTTTTCTTCGGCTGATCCCTCGCCAGGCCGTGGCTTTCGGAAGTGGCTCAAAAGAAACGTAGGTGCATTCAGGCGGAAGATTGGACGAATTTCCTTGGCGGTAAAAGCGCCCGTCCGGCCCCTTGGGTTTTTAGTTGTTTTAGTTGGGTACGGGTCAAAATTGAACCTGCAGGGGACCGCAAGGTTTTAGTCTTTGTTGCCATTTACCAGGGTTCCATTCTGGGGTGACCCTATTTTTGGCCCACGCACCCAGTTGGTTTCGTGGAGGTTGCCACTTAACTTACTGAACGGGGGAAAGTTTTAGCAGAGGATCTGAGGACAGGTTGGGAACCCTTCATTCACCCGAGCCACCCCCTTGTTCCGTGTAACTTCGGCTACACATGTGTGGGTGGGACCGCCCCCCCAAAAAAAACAACAACAAAAAATACCAAAAAAAACCAAAACAGAACAGAAAACAAAGAAACACATTGCCCCTTGGTTGACAAGCCTCAGGCCTCGTTGCCATATTTGGCAAGTCAAGCCCTTACGAATTGCAGTTGTGCCCTGTGCCTGATTTGAACATGTTTGCTCTGGAGTAAGGCTGGCTCAAGCTCAACATAGACCTATGTTGGGCCTTTGGTCACAAAAGGGGCCCTCTTTCTGCCGAAAGGTTTGCCCTTCCCAATATTACTTAGTAGCACGGATTTGTTGTTTGCAGTAATTCCACTTCCCACACCTAAAGGACAATAGCTCGAGGGAAACCGGCGAGCGAATCGACTAATCGATCTGAAGTGTTGGTTTCCCATTTTGGTCCATTTGCACCTCGCGCCGAAGGGTTTTGACCTTCCATTTCTGCCTGGACCCTCAAACTACCCATCAAAAAGGGGAATGTACCCCCACGTTTGTTGCAAAAACCAGCTATGTAATTCTGACTTTGGACAGTTGTGAAGGGAACAACCAAAAGAACACCCCAGCCATTTTTGGGGGTACTCTAAAAAGAGAGGTGTTTCAGAGAGCTACGGTGGATGGACAAAATCCCGCACCACCTAACAAACCCTGGAATGATGATTCTCCTGCAAATAGCACCAAACAATGGTTTCAAAGTGGTCCCTGGTTCTTGTGGGTAAATGGTTTTTGGATTTGGATTTGGATTTGGATTTGGTGTCAACCACCTGCAGCTTCAAACGACTAGAAAAAAGTAGGTGGTTTGGTCATTGTATTGCTTTTGCCTGTTTCGTATCGTTTTTACCGCAAAACGACTAAGACGCCTAGAAATTTGAATTATTAGATGTTTCCTTCTTGCACAGGGCGTTCTCTCTCATTCAGCTTGATATTGCCCACTACACCAGATGTTCGAATCTTCAGAAACTTCTAAACACTTCGAATCCTTCCCTCCATCAACACCCTTCAATCCTAGCTGTGCGGGGGAGTGGTGCGCAAATCGGAGCAAGTTTAGTCTAAACATGCTTCGAGTGAGAAACGCACTTTGTTCGTACCACTTGTGGCCGCAAAACGAGCGCAAAAACCCGCAAAACGCCCGCAAAAACCCGCAAACGAGCGCAAATCCCAAAAAGTGGGTCAATTGGGGTTGTTTCATGCACTGCCCGCTCAAAAGCATGCCCTGATTGGGCACCGATGTAGGGTCATGCTTGCAACGGGAAATGCAAGCACCGAGAAAGGAAACTATATTGATATGAGGTCAGATCTTGTTGGCTCAAATATCCTCCCAAACGGCCAGCAGCACGTTAGACGCCGGCCTTCGTACTAGTTTTCCAGCGGTTCGTACTAGAACCCCCAGTTTTCCTCCAATCGTACCCATTACCCAAAACGCCCAGAAATTTCTGGGTGATTGAATCTCCAGGCATGGTTTCAAAGTGGCGCGAAATGGGTTTCGTGCATCAACAGTAGGCTCGGTCTGTTCGGGTGCCTCTTCTGAGGTTCGCCTTCATGGCGCTTTGGCCCGACTCCATCCACGTCCACCGTGGCAACCACGAGGCGCTTTGTTTTTTTGCGGAGAAACATATGGGTGTCCGTGTTTCGGTTGTTTTGGTCGAAAAAATAGATGGGTTTCCCTGGTTTCTGGGGTAGACCTAGGATACATTTTACATTTTACCAGTGACTCAAAGGAAAGCAGACAATAGAATATACATTCTATAACTGGGCCTAAGTCTAATCATCGTTTGCCTGGTGGTTTAATCATCTACCAGGGCCATCTATTTCCCCTAAAAGGACACCTATGCCGAGAAACCGTGTCCGGGACATGGATCCAGAAGCCCAAGATTGGGCGTCTGCTCAGCGGGGAATGAGCGAATGACCCCAATAAGCCATCCCGTGTGGTTTCCTATCAGGGGACCTTTGGGTTCGTTCCCACATTACTTACTGAGCACCAGCAAGCAGAGTGGGCGTGTGTCTCAAGATGTGAGTGTCTGTTTGTTTCTGTAGAAATTGCCATGCGGTTTTCGTGGTCCCAACTGGAAAACCGAAGCCCGTGGCTGGGTCCAAGTCGTAAGAAAAGACACACCCAACTCGGATTCGTTGAGAAGCTTCAAGCCTTGTGATAAGGGAAAAGGATTCCCAAAAGCCCATGAAACAGGGACAACTACGTCGACAAGGGAAACCGGGCCCCACAGTCTCACAGTTAGGCAAGATTTGCTGGGAGGGAGGGAAATCCACAACCATGGCCCCCCACCAAAAAAGCGCGCCGAACCGCATTTGACCGCGGTTTCGGAAGGTTTGGCAATGCTTCCAGTTGCCAAACCACAAGACGAGAGAGAGAGAGAAAGATATATTTTTCCCAGGAGAGGAGCATGGGGCCTCTGAGGAGTGGTTCTCCCGAGTTTCTGGACTGACTCTTATGGAAGAGTTGAACCTCCCAGTCATGGACGAAAAAACGGACGGAGGTTGATTGAACAATCGGGGATTAAACATGCAATACTCATCGCGCAACTCGGGTTTGACTAACCCACTGTATTGGGTAACCAGGCGAAACGAGCCATTGAACGAACTGCAATTAGAAAGCCGTTGCCTGCAACTGGAAACACTGGGTTCGTGGGTTTTTGGGCATGCTTGGAGGGTTCTACCCAAAACTCGTAGAGCACAACCAATGTGCCAATGAGGACCAGTGTTGGCTTCACTGGTTTGCTTGTGTTGCTTGTGTTGCTTGTGTTTTTTTGCATTGCTTTCAGTTGGGGGGTGCAGAAGCACGAGGCACCCGCGCAACATGGAACTCCTTGAGACTCGTGCGTGCAGAAGGAAGGTCAGGCTGCCCCATGTTTCCCCTTTTGATGTTTTTACACATCACCGTTTAGGCCGGGTTTCCTTTTGGTGGGGTGATGTTCAAACACCCTCCAAAGTTGCAACCAACAAAGTGGGGGCAGATTGCCCCAATGGGCTGAATTCCATGTCTCGTGGCATTATGGTTGTTTGAGGGTCCAGGCAAACACCCTCCAAAGGCGGCCTGGGGCTCAGGCGAGCGTAGCTCGGGACGACCAGCCTCCAAAGACAATCGTTTGTTTCTGCCTTGCGTGGCCTCGTTTAGTAGCAAGGACCACATCAGCAGATTTTCCTTTCGCGCTCTCACGCGCAAGTTGTGATCCGGGAGCTCGTCTATATACGGGTGTGGCTCAAAATGAAACGATCGGAGGGGCAAACCGCAGGTTTTGGTCCATGTTTCCGCTTGCCAGGGCAACCCATTTTGGTACCGTTTTTGCATTTTTCTTCGAGCCACAGCCATACTGCAAAGAGCCGCCTTTCGAGCTCAAAAATGCAGAGCGGAGCCCACCGCGAAGCACCCCCCTAGCTTACCACGCGGCACTGCGTGGTGGAGCAGTTGCCGCCTGACGTGGCATTCGCCGTGGCAACGCAGCTGCAAGCCGCATCACCGAGAACTTGAGGGTTGGGGGGGAGGGGCGGGGTTGATAGGGTCCACTGTAGGGTGGCTTCAAGGAGACTGTGCAGGCTGGTTCATGTCCCAACACGTACCCTTTTTTGAAAGAATCACTGAGGCGGACGGCGCTTTTTAAGAGGATGGTAGTCTTCCGAAGCCCTTCTGTTGACTTCCATGGTTGGAAAGAGGGCAGAGGTGTCGCTGGGTCCGTGAAAGGACAGGCTTCTGAACATGGACTATCACTGCGGCGGCTTCTATGACGAGGCTGGTTGCAAGATGGCCTTGTTTGGAGGGTACCCTTTTCAGCGTGGGCATGGAAGGTCAACAAGGGGGGGCTGAGGGTTTTTCGGGTTCCTTGACTCGGCATGCTTCTCAGGTCCTACAACCCTTGTGTCCAAACGCTAACATCGCTAACCGGGAAATCCATCAGGGTCGGCCTAGTCTTGGACGCATCTTGGCCCAATGTGAGGAGCAAGCGGCACCCTGCCGATTCCAGTTGCCGCTTCCGCTCCCAGAAGATCTGGCTGCGGGTTCTATTTGGGTACTTGGCCCCCGATTCACGCTCCTGGTTGCATAGATCCGGGTCCTCTGTTTGACAGCAGTTTGTTTTAAACAAAGACTGCGACGCAGGTTCTGATCCTTTTGGGGAATCTCTGTTCGCCCTTCTAATCGTCCGGAATCTTGGGCGATTCTCCAGCTAACATCGTGGCTTTGCCGGCGGGGTGTCGTGCCGGCTCAGCGGGGTTTGGGTTTCCACCCAAGCAGATGACTTGATTTGAGAAGCCCTGGGAGTTTCGCAGGACCAGGGGGCGGGGGCAGCGCATCCCGCCTCGGGTGTTTGTTTGAGGCCTGGGATGAACCAGGATAGCCTGGTTGAATCTCCGATTTTTAGATGGGTTCGTCAGTTTCATGAAGTAGTCCTCGGCACTTGTGCAGCAGAGCACGCACGCTTTTGTGGGAGATGGAGGTGCTTGGGTTCCTCCAAAGAGAAGAAGTTATTTTCGACTACATCCCCACCCCTGCAACAAATGGAATTGCGGGAGGGGGGGATTTGGACCAATTCCATTTATGGCTCCCACCAAACTTGAACTTGTCACCAAGCGGCGGTTCGGCCACCGGGGAATCTATGTTAAGCCAAAAGCTCACCTATGGCGTCGGACTCTTTACGAACCAGAAATGGGAAGCCCTGACGGGTGTCCAAGGGAATCCGAAGCTGACATTGTTCCTGGTGGCCGCCATTTCTAAGGTTGAAGCCCCCCCCCGCCCCAAATGGCTTAGTAGTTTCCCTTTCACTCCCCAAAGAGACTTGGACCCACTTGGATCCTTTGAACATAGGGCATCGGACAAAAAGTTGGAAGGGGAGTTGGACCCTCTCACGGGTCTTGGGTATCTTCGAACATGTCGCCGCAGGTGTTGAGGAAGTACGGACGCCATGGAATCGGCCCAATGGCTACAGCCTCGGCCGAAAGCTGCGCTCGATGTGGTAAGTAACTCACAAAAGCCCATGGCGAATCGACCATTTGATCGTATGCCTTTTAGTTTCCCCACTTGCCTTTGGTGGTTCCCTGGTAGGTTCCATTCAGCCCTCCAAGAGTTGGCAACTGCTTGTTGCGGCCCCAAGTAACGGACCCAAGTGGCCATGTGAATCTGGTCACCCTTGAGAATTCTTTGAACGAAAACTCGATTGGGTTTGTCTTTCTCATTGTTGGACCACCCCAAATGTTGTTTGTTCCTTTTGGTATTCCTTCAAAACGTCCAAGAAAGGGGGACCCTCAAGCAAGACCCACCCCGCATGTTTCAATCCCAGCCCTTTCAGTTGCAGCAAGAAACTGGGAGAAGCCATGATGCAAACCTGAAATCACCCGCAATATATACCTGGACCCTCAAACTACCCATAAAAAGTGAAATTCGCCAACCCCAGTTTGGGGTTGCAAGGACCCAGTTTGTAGTTGGACTTTTGAGGGATTAGGTAGTGGTACATTGAAGCCGGAATGATGCCCAGAGGGTCGTGACCCAATTTGACAATCCCTTGGTACAATTTGGCGTGGCTTGTTTTGATGGCAGTTTCAAAGGGAAAACCGCTCTTTTTGTGAGAGTCCCCGATTTTGAGACAAACCCCTATATGAGTGTCGATTGGACAGCCGTTTCCTGCCAATTGAAGCTCATACTTGGGTGTTCGATTCGCCAAGATAGTAAGCTGTAACGGAAACCTATAGGTTACCCACTTATAGGTTAACCTTAAGGGGGGTTATACCCTAAGTGGCTAGCCACTTGGCAACAAGCATCCAAGCATCGCGATGCGGCTCCGCATGCTCGAATCCCCCGAGATTTACGAGAAGTTTGGGCGGATCTTCGCACGGCTCCCGTTGGCCTCGGTGATCGACAACCAGGCTGCGGATGGATCCGGACTCTCGTTTCGTTGCGGGCGCTGCGTGTTCAGGGAGATTTTTTGCAGTGCAGAGACCGTCCTTTTGGTCATTTTGGTTGCTAGATGGGCGCCACTGCCTTGATTCGTATCGATTTTAAACCAAAAGGTGGTAGAGCCAAAGGCCTCGGCGCGAGGAGATAGCAGAATTCCTGGATATCCTGGCCCAAGAGAATTGCACCATCTAGTTGACAACCCACCCTGGTTTGTTTGGGTGTTCAACCAAGATCTGGGAAGTATGTAATAACCATCTTATATAAGGGGATGATCACCCCAGTCATCCCAGTTACAACTATGTTTGCCCACTTACCTGTCGTTGTTTGAGTGTACTGGTGGTGGAAAATCGGGCACGTCTTGTCAGAACAGCATTTGGAGCCAGCAACGCATCAGCTCGTGCTTCAACCCTGCAGACTTTCTCGTGAGTAGCGCCCCGAAACCACCAAAAGGGCCATGCTGGAAGGCGGTTCTACCAGGTTTCAGACGGTAAGCCTTCAGATCCATACTAGTAGAACCAAACACCAATAGGTTCTGGTCGCTGCTGATGTGGAAAGTTGGGATACGGGGGCCGTTGTTTGTGATACCAAGGCAATGCCCTAATTGAGCAGCGATGTTTTTAGATGATGGATTTTAGCTTCGTGGGGAACTCCCAAAAAGTCCGCGAAGCCACCTATGTGATACATCGTGTGCCGCGAAGCCCCGCGAAGCCCCGCGAAGCCAATTCGCGTAGCCGGGGAACATTGACACAGGCGAAGCCACTTTGCGAATGCACTTCGTGCATGGAGTGTGTTATGTGCTTTCATGGTAGTAGCATGCCAAAGGTTGATGTTGAGAGTCATTTTCAGATGGCCTCCAGAAGGCTATGACAAGACTACAGGAAGATTACAGTCAGACTGCCGGAAGATTGTGGGAAGACGACAGGAAGACGACCGGAAGAGCACTGTGCGTTTCAGGCCCGGCTTTGCTAGAAACGATGGAACGTTTTCGCGAAGCCTCTGCGCAGCCCCCGCGAAGCCTCCGCGAAGCCACCGCCGTCCAACTTCCATGCTCCGCCCCTTTGAGGCCCGGCCATGTCCTCTAGTCCGGAAGTTCAATATCTCTCTTACCGCCTTTCATCGCCCCCTTTCGCATGGACTCAACTTGATTCAACAACATGAGAGCGCAAACATCAGAGATGTTTGTGGAACAAGCATCCGCGAAGCCCCGGCGACGCCACTCCGCGAAGCCACAGTCTTGCCGCGAAGCCTCGCGAAGCCAACTTCCACGAATTCTGGCCCCGCGAAGCCCCCCGCGCAGCCTCCCCAGCAGTGTATAAGCCCTGAACCTCTAAAAAGAACAATGTCCATTTGTGAACAGCCCTCAGAGCCCTCGGATCACTCTAAGTCTAGCTGGAAAACACGCGTATGTTGAGGTCGTCGCTTTGACAGGTGGAGGGTTTAGGTTCATTCCTGTTTGGTTATCTCGTGATGTTTCATGCTTGTTTCATGTTTAGGCCTCTTCCATGTTTTGCTTAAGAACACATTGCATTTTCCACTGTTGGTTACTGGGAATCTATCACTGGATCTGTTTTTTTCGCCCAGGGCACGCATTCGCAAATGGAGGCTGTGCTTTGCAGTGCACAAGCTAAATAGACGGATCCCGCTCCAAATCGAATTTCAACAGAGGAACCCTTTTGAACCCTCCCGGACAGCTTTGAGCCTATTGGGGCGTATCGACCCCATAGCTTTCAGCCGGCTCAAGTATAGAGCTAGGGTTGCGCAGGTTTTAGTCTTGGGTTCCGTTACCAAGCTGCTATGTTTGCACCCAAACCCCCAAAATTCCAACTCAAAAATGGCGCAGACTGCAGCCCAACAATCTGGGCCGGATGAATTTATTCATTGTGTTATGGGTAGTTGTTCGGGTCCAGGTACCCCCCAAAAAACAATTTTAATAACAGTAAATCATAAGCAGATAAATCGAGTTTTCTTGTCGGCTTCCCTTTAAAGCCACGAAAAGAAGCGACCCCCCCCAACACAAAAAAAACTGAAAAACAACGCATATATATATATATAAAAAAGGGGGGCACCCCCACCGTTAGCTGTTGCGGAAACGACACCTCCGCCAGATCTTCGTGGTGCATGGGGGCCTCTCCCGCGGCGCGCCCGGCAGCTTCCTGCGGCTGCCGAAGCCTCGACGGAGAAACGGAGTCCATTGGGTTCAATTCTTCCATTTGCTTGTGTTCTATTTTCCTTTTTATTTATTTTTTCTAGCTTCCCTTTTTCCTCCATCTTGATTTTGAAGATGTTTTTGGGTATTTGTCCCTTTTGGTTTTGAACATTATCCCTATGTTCCATCTTTTAGTTTTCCTTTTGGTTTTTCCTTCTGGTTTAAATCTTTGTTTCTTCCATTTGCTTAAGAATATGTTTTAATTATTTCCCTTGTTGGTTTTAAATGGAATCTATCGCTACTGGAAATATATATATATATATATGTTTTTTTTTCTCCTCCCGGGGGGCTTAAGCAAAAGGAATAATTTTTCCTCCGGGGACCCCGAAATGTTTGGGGTTCCTTTGGGTTCCCCTTGAGAACCTAGCAAAACGGGGTGTCAACAAGAAGAAACACCCACATGGGTCTGTCTTTGTTTTGGTTGCTCAAAAGCCTTTCCTTTTTGTCTGTTTCTGCCGCTGACTAATGGGCCCAGGTTTTTCCCTGTTGGTTGCTTAATTGAAATCCGTGACTTAAAATGTGTTGCTATTGTCATCCAGAATTTCCCGGGAATGAATTGTGGGGGAACCCTTATCACCTGGAAAAGCACACTAATTACAACTTGCGTTGCTATGTTGGACAATGGAAGGCTTTGGCAAATGGAGGAACTGAGATCTTCTCCAATATTATGTTGTTTTCAGGGAGAATCAGAACATATATTACTTTTGGAGTACAGACCTGGGCCAAGAAATGCACCACCCAAAATGTGTTTCTTGATTGGTGCTTACAGAAAAATCAATGGAAGCCACCAATTTGCAAGGGGTACACATTTTCAGAAGCAACCAATTGAGGTTTAGTCAAAGTATGAACTCAGGATAATTTCCTAGGAATGAATTGTGGGGGAACCCCTTAGCACCTGGAAAAACATAATCATTGCCACATTGGATTTGTTGGTCAGACAATCAATGCGTTGCTATGTAAGACAATGCTTGGTGATGCAAAACACAGTCGTGTAAGTCTGGGGTGCAATGCAACAAGCCCTTTGAGCGTGTTTCTTCTTCGGGGCTGACTCCGGAACTTTTGGTCAGCGAATTGTCTTTTTGGGACCACTGACAACAGCCCAAGGTGGTTCAGTACCTGGATTACCCATCAAAAAGGGAATTCGCCAACCAAAGGTTTTTGGGCCCTCGCCCATTTTTTCAGGTGGAATTTTCAAGGTCCTGGTAGCCCTGTGACCGCATAGCACCTGGCGGGACTGAGACGTCTCGGTCCGTTTGGTCCCTTTCGCGTGCAAAACACGGGGAAGAAAGGCGTGTTTTCGCATAAGACCCCGGGTGACTAAATTCGCAACACCGGGGGTTTGGGGTTCCGGGGAAAAAAAGCCAAGGGGCCCAGCAACGAGAGAGCTCCGAAGCTCCTATTTGATGGGGCCAAGGCCGACAGAGCCAAGGGGACTGTCCGGGCGTTTTGCTTCGATCATTTGTTTCGCAAAAATATTTAACAGTTTAAGTTTCCAAAGACCTGCTTGTTTTTGTGTGTTTAGCAACACTTTTAAATGGGGTTGAGATTACGGTAATGTCCGTGCTTTCAGTGAAGAGCGCTTTAAGTTGAAATTCAATTGGGGGCGCGGTTCGGGAATCATTTGTCCTCATTTTGGCCCGAAATGCCATTGGATCTTTCCGTGTATAATAGCAAACCACGGGATGGCGTGTGAGGCTAGGAACGACTGGACAGAGTCGGCCAACTTATCGCCAAAACTGATTTCGAGAGTCTAACCTTCTCCTGATCCATGTCTTGGCTGTTAACTTTTGAGGGTTTAAGCAGATTCAGGTCAGATGGCATGTGTAGAAACCCACTCAAGACCAACAGCATCATATATATCTATATATGTATGGGTTTGTCCTTTTTTTGGTGTGTTGAGTTGCTTGAAAAGGTAGAGGGTGGGACCTCCCCGAATCATACCCCCGAATCATACCCCGTATCATACCCCCGAATCATACCCCTTAAAACGTATGCTGCAAGATGATACTGTTCTTCTTCCGTTTTGTGTTGTTCACTGCCTCCACCCAGCGCAACCCAACACTACCACTACCACTACCACTACTACTACTACTACTACTACTACTACTACTACTACTACTACTACGACTCCTACGACTCCAATTTCTACTACTTCTGCTTCTGCTACCCTTACTACTAACTACTACTACTACTACTACTACTACTACTACTACTACTACTACTACTACGACTACTACTCCTACTACTACTACTACTACAACTTCTACTACTACTACTACTACTACCACTACTACTACTACTACTACTACTACTACTACTACTACTACTTCTTCTTCTACTACTATTCCTGCTACATACATCATTCTGAGTCTGTAATCAGTGCCGTTTTGCACCTAGCCGAATCATACCCGAATCATACCCGCGAATCAGACCCGAATCATACCCGGACAATGAGCTTCCCCTGCCAAGGCTCGTGCCAAGTCTTTTTCAAAGCGTCCGCACCACTACAGCCGCTGCTGCTCATGCTACGGCTGCTACCACTACTTCTGCAACTGCTATTACTACCAGTACTACTGCTACTACTACTACTACCACAGCTACTACTACATTCATCATTCTGAGTTTGTAATCAGTGCCGTTTTGCACCTGGCCAAATCATACCCGCGAATCATACCCGAATCATACCCGCGCAATGAACTTGCCAAGGCCAGCGCCAAGTCTTTTCAAATCTTCCGCGCCACTACAGTCGCTGCTTCTACTGTTACTGCTACTACTACTACTACTACTACTACTACTACTACTACTACTCCAATTACTACTACTACTACTACTACTACTACTACTACTACTACTACTGGTACTACTACTACTACTACTAGTACTACTACTACTACTACTACTACTACTACTACTACTATTGTTACTACTACAGTATTACTACTAGTACTACTACTTCGACGACTACTGCTACTACTACTACTACTGCTGCTGCTGCTGCTGCTGCTGCTTCCGCGAATCATACCCCCGAATCATTCCAGCGAATCGTACCTGCGAATCATACCCCGTACTCAAACCTTCCTGCCCGGCCCCCGTAAATAAATACAAACCCATATATCACAATGTCAACATGAGCATTAAACAAGTGAAACGCCAACATGTGTTCATTCCCTTCTGCCTCTCAGTCTGACCTCTACCTCTCTCACTTCCTTCCTTCACTTCCCAAAGCAGACCGTAAATCCGAGCAGGCTGTGTACAATCCGCTTGGGCTTGTTGATTTGGTGTCTCAGCCAATCGCTGAATAGGGCGGTCACATCAATTCAGGCTGCGGGCCAATAGAACCCGGACCGCGGAGGCGCGTTCGCGGCTTGCGCCGGATTTTTTTGGTTCGGTTTCGGCGAGCGTGGCCGGATGGTGTTTTGGCATGGATGGTGTTTATTGGTATCTATATAGTTCTGGGAATCTGGAAAAGCTAGAAACAAGAGGTTGTGTCCAAGGGGTTGTGTCCATGTGACCATGAGTTTGAAGAAGGAACCAGCTCAAAAGACCTGAATCCCACCCTAAATGATGTCCATTAAGGGACCCACAATCAAATTCACGCTCATAGAGCCTACCACTTGGGTGAAAGGCAATCTCATGTCATACGGGTGGATCGGGCGGTGGGGTTCCTGATGTTAATGAAGTGTGGAAGGTAGGTAGCGTTGAGGTAAACCCGAACGGAGGACTTCTCCATGAGCCGGAATGAACATGGGCTAGGTCCCCCAGTAGTGCCCTTTTACCCTTTTTTTCAGGAGGGTTAGTTCCCCTACTAAAACAGACTACAGAAAAAAAGGTACCCGTATTCTAACCTCTCTACTGGAGGACCTAGTGGGGGTTCAAAGGAATCAACTCGGCCCATTTGTAAGCTCGAGGCCACCCAAAAGCGGTTGGAATCTCCACAAAAAGGGGACATTCCGAATTGCTCAAAATCAACCAAGGGTTCTACTTGGATTTGGGGTCAAAGTCAGTTTGGAGGACAAGCACCTTTACTTCCAACAAGTCCCTGCACTTGAGCCACTTTTTATTAGACCATTGTGACAAACACACGAGGATTGGTTGGGGGAAATCATGGGAATGAAACCATGGAATGGGGTCGAAATCCCTGTTTCCATGTTTAAGGGGGTGGGAATCTACAAGCCAGGATAGTTTACTTTTGGGGCCATCCACTGAAGTGAGCTGGCGGTTTCAAGCATCACCTCCCCACTTCGGTCCATCTCAAATTCCTTGCAATGAGTTTTCCTCTTTGACAAAGGACCTTTTGTACTTGGGGGCCAGTCTCTTTTTCCGTTTTGCGCCCTCTTAGCCGGAATGCCCTTGGGCTTTCCTTGCGCCGCCCCGAGCCGAGTCAACGGCTCCCCACCCACCGTCTCCGCCGATACGCCGCGAGATCCCCTCGGCCTCCGCGGGGGCGTCGGCGGTGGACTTGGCCTTCATCGACGCCATGTGGGCGGATCCCCAGGCGGCGGCGCCGGCCGAGCGGTGCGTAGCTTGGGAACGGGTTTTGTGGTGGTTTAGGGTTGGGTGGTGAAAAAGTGGATACATTAATAAACCACCCAATCTTTGGGTGGTTTATATACGAAAACCACCCAACTGTAGGGTGTTAAGTGGAAACCGCTCGTTTGTTTGGCGTTTTGAAGGGGAAACCGGACATAGTTGCTTGTTGTTTTTTTGTACAGACGGAGACCCAAGAGAAACCCACCCACTTTTGAGGGAAACTCCGATGTTTGTGGTGTTGATCGAACAAACCGTTTGTTTTGGTGTTTAAAGGGAGAGCTCAAAGGGACACCACCCGATTTTACTAGAACCCGGGATCATAGGATGGGTTGTAAATCCGGAACAGGGTCCTCAGAATCCGCCACAATGGTCCAGACAGAAATCGTCAGATCCACAAATCATGCTGGTGGGAAGATCTGCATTTGATGGCTTCGCTTGTTGTGGTTTCCCACCTTGATGACCGAGAACATGTCAATCGGGATTCTGAACAGTTACCTTTGCCGCAGTGGTTCCACTTTGGCGGGTTTATATTTGGGTGACCCCCCAAACTGCGCAACTGGTGCTTTTCCTTTTGGTTTCCCTTTGTGATTCTTAAAAACGGAGGGGTGACCTGTCTGCCGCACGCTTTGCTCGGATCTTCTTGGACACGGACCCCCAGGACACCCACCAGTCAGAAGATCGCTCGGCTGCCAGTCTCCGCCGGGCCGACTTCGGGTTCCAAGGCAGCTTCCCCCTCTTGGCACGCGGGTCCCCCTGTTGGATTTTTGAACCCCCCCAAAAACGGGGAGTCCCCTGAAAAAGCCGCGGCCGCCCATTTTTCGAGCGGCACGGAGCGAGAGGACTACCCCGGCTCGACCCAGAACCCCCGGGGCCCGGGCCTCTCCGCGCGCGGGGCCTCAGGGCCTCGCTCCGAGCTCCGAGAGCTTTCGGTGAAAACGGGGTGTGGCTCAAAATTTGAGAGCCAGGGCTACGCAGGTGTTGGTCTTTGTTTCCAAAATCCTTAGATCCCATTCTTGGGTACACTTTTGGGAGACACAGCCAAGGGGGGCCGAACCCCAAGAAAACCCGAAGCAAAGCGCATGGCTCGCGACTTCCTGGACCAAAAATGAACTGCGAGCTTCTCTGTCACAAGTGGGCAGACACCTTCGGTGGGTTTGTCCAGGTGTCACGCTGTACCCTTGGGGAGTCCACAAGAAGTCCTGAAAAAGGGGGTAGGTTCGGGGCAGGGTTTCAGATTTGGAGGGGTTGGTTTGAGAGCCCCTCCAGGTGGATCTGTTTCCTTGCAGTTGCCCCGCGAATCCAAAACCCGCTTCCTGATTTTGAGACCCTGTGTAGGGGGGGGGGGGGGGAGGTTGCAAGCTCCGAGGGCAGCTCGTTGCCGGTCACGAGCAACTGATTACACCCTCCTATTCAAGTGCTTAGGTCCCTTGTGGCTTTGTCTCAAAATTGGGGGTCCCAAGAAAGGTGGCTTTGGTTTGTCTTTAAACCAACCCCAAATTGAGGGTACTCGCAAAAAGACGAGACACCCCTGTTGCCGTTCGCTGGAAAAGCACATAGCAAGGATTTTGCAGGGAGAGCTATGGGTTATGGCGATAGGTTATGGACCTTGATGGGCCAATGAAGGGTCCAATAAAGGGGCGCCTCGGCCATCCATTTGCTTTTCCGACTGCAGTGAACATGTTGTTTTTCTGCGGGTTTAGTTGGAATCCAGGCCTACTGGACATATTGCCTCCCCGTTTTGCTTTTTTTCCAGGGACGTGGCCCACGGCAAATGGAAGTACCATGGGGGTTGTAAGTGGGACCACGTCTCCAAGCTTCAGACAGTTTCTCAAAGTAGGCGAGCCGGCTCCCCCAAACTGGACTTGGGTGTCCTTTGGTTTCCCTCTGAACACCAAAAAGGGGTGGGAAGGGTATTTATTTTAGGATTAGGAATAAAAAAAAAAAAAAAAAAAAAAAAAAAAAAAAAACGAGAAACAAAAATCAAAATAAATCCGCACCCAAAGGGGTGCCCCCAGAAAGACGGCACACCCATCTAGGACGCGGCCTCCGCCCGAGCCTGCCGTCTTCGCCAGGTTTGGCCCGGATGTCACGGAGCGGTTCCTGCAAGAGACGGGCTATGCCCTGGTGGTGCGTTCCCATCAGGCGGAGAGAGACGTTGCTCATCACGGGAGGTCGATTTTTGTATTTCCCCAGCCAAAAACAGCTTGCTGGTGCGACTAATTGGAACGACCCCTATAATCGGGGACCCCCCACCCTCTTCCCCCTTAGGGTAAGGGGAGATCACTTGGGTGTTCAACCAACGTCAGGCAAGTAGATGCTGCCTACTATTGCACAACACCTAGCCAACAGTTTTGTAGGGGCCTGAACAGTCTAGCCCAGCGCCGCCTATTGCAACATCTAGACCAGTGCTGACGATGGCACAACCACTAGCCAACAGTTGAGGGGTCAGTGTTAAGCGGGCGGGGGCTTAAACATGTAGCCTAGTGCTGCCAATTACTAGAACAGGTACCCGGGTTGGCTTATTGTACTAGGTTTACATATGGTTTGTTCTGGTTACATTTGCATGGCTTGCGATTGATTGGAAGCATTGGACATGCACCTGGAATGTGAAACCCAAGCCTTTTCAATCCTTTTTACAGTCTTGTGCGCCTATGGGATCTTTGGGTAATCCCGGGCTGACTCCCTGCTATGGGTCCATTTCAAGGGAACATGGAACTTTCCTCTTGGCTTTGGTTGTACTCCCTGCTTTGGGTCCATTTCAAGGGAACATGGAACTTTTCTCTTGGCTTTGGTTGTACTCCCTGCTTTGGGTCCATTTCAAGGGCATGGAACTTTCCTCTTGGCTTTAGTTGTACTCCCTGCTTTGGGTCCATTTCAAGGGAACATGGAACTTCCTCTTGGCTTTGGTTGTACTCCCTGCTTTGGGTCCATTTCAAGGGAACATGGAACTTGCCTCTTGGCTTTGGTTGTACTCCCTGCTTTGGGTCCATTTCAAGGGAACATGCAACTTTCCTTTTGTTTGTTTTTGGTAAAAAGGATGTAGAAGGTGTAAATCAACTGGCCTTGACTCCTCAGGTGCCTCCCAACAACGATGGCTTTTTCGTCCATCACAACAGCGCCTGGGCTTTCGGGGTACCTGGACCCTCCAACTATCCATAAAAGGGTTTTTTGAAATAAACCCTGAACCCTAAACTCTAAACCCTGAGTTTTTCCATAAGTGTGGGTGGCAACCGATTTTTTAAGTTGAAATGTGGTGGGTTCAGCCGGAGCTTTTGATGGTTGCCTGTTTTGAGACCGGGAGAGGCACACGAAAACATGAGTTCGGACTTGCTCCAAGGACTCCACTGCTTTTTGAAACATCTGGGGTTCTACTGAAAAGCTTCGATTCTCGAGTTCGATTTGCCAAACGGAAGGAGACAGTGTAAAACGAAGAAAAAAAGGACACATAAAATGACAAGGTGACAGATGTAGTAGGGAAAGCTTGGGGGGTTTTAGACACGCCCATTTGGCGTTTCCACCCGCCGAAGCCAGAAAGGCCGAAGCAGATGGATAACCAGGTCCCCCAGTAGTGCCCTTTTACCCTTTCTTGGGGGAGGGTTCCCCTACTAAAATAGACTTCAGAAACAAGGGTACCCTTATTCTAACCTCTCTGCTGGAGGACCTAGATAAGTTTCCCTTAGGCATATTGGACGTGAAGGCTTTGAACACTCCTGGGAATGGTCAAACGGCCAAGGCTCGATCCGTTTAGATGGCCATGGGGCTGTTGCCCCCCGCATCAAAATGAGGCGCCTTTTTTTATCTAGTTCGTTGGGGAACTTGCACGTTCCCAAGAAGTTAAGGGTCAAAGGTCCAACTCAACAGCCAAAGTGAGTGTCAAGCTGAGCCCTTGTCTTGTTTTGGTCTGGAAGCAGCAAGCTCAAAGCGATTTGGGCTGGCAGGATGTACCAGAAAATGTGTCAGACACGGCCCTGAATTTCCGCCTTTTCAGATTACAATACCTCCAGGTTGCTGTGGCTCTGAATATGAACTTATGTTCAATTTGAAGCGTTAATTTGAGCAGGTTGTTCCCCTTTATTGACTTGGGTAAGGCGGACAAAGTGTAAGTGCTTGGTTGTGTTCCTTCGAACCACGTCGGAGATTACAATACACAGCGGTATGCACACACACACACATGCAGACAAAAAGTCAAGGCGACTCACAACAGTTGCACAACACTCCTGCGGGATGAAATTACTTCTCAGAGGGCTAAGTGAGTCTGAGCCACTGCCAGCATTTAATAGCTTAGCTAAATCTCACGTTATGTCAATCTCAATTTATGTCAATTGCATTCTGGTAAGCCCGTTTATGTTGTTGCAGCTGGCCAGTTTTTTTTTGGTTGTGTGTGTGTGTTTGTTTTCGGCACAGCAGCTTGTTGCTTTCTCAGCTTGCCTTGCATGGTGAAGGCATAAAACCAAGTTTAGCCATGATTAGTAATTATTTAGCCCCTTATATTACACCCCTGATGAGGCACCCCATTGCAATTTATCATGAATATGATTGTGCAACTTCTTGCAGGGAGTTCCACAGTGTACGGGATAATGTAAAGCTCCCAGGAGGACATGATGGTATTGCAACCTGTGCCCCAGAAGCTTGCACTCAACCAGCAGAATGGCTTGCAACCAACAGTTTAAGAGTTCGCCAGGCAGACTTGCATTAGACCGTGGTAAACCACAGGCGAGGCCGAACCCTTAGCCTGTTCAAATCAGTTTGGCTCGAGCCGATACCTCGGTATCGGGATATCTGATTATCTCTCGACCTTGCCATTCGAACATACTCCTTGACTCAGAGAGCTGTGGGTCCCATGCTGAAGTGTAACGGGGCGATATAATACAACCACTGCTTCAACACATGCTTGCCCGTAAGTGAGCGTGCGAGTCATTGACCTTGACCCTGGTTGCAGACTTCCCCGCCAGTTGATCCAACAGAGAGATTCTCACGGAAGAGCAACTTCCCAAAGCAAACCAAGTCCTGAGGAGGTCTTTGGAAGCAGCATCCTGCGACCTCAAGGAAACCTTCTTGAGCCTGTAGGGCCTGCAGGCCGTCAGTGGACTTGAATTGCAAGGGTTGTTCTGAAAAACGTGCTGCACGCAGCCCTCATGTTGGATATACGTTGCTTGCAGGTGTTGGGCACTGGGTTCGCCCACACATAGACGTGTCTTGAACTGTCGCCCCCTGAAGCTTGCCTTGCAGCGCAACTTTCCAGCCTTTGCTCGTGCATGTTGGGGTTCAACTTCGTGACTCAGTCTTTGTCTAGCGTTGGCTTTGGTGGGTGGCCCGGCACCAAGGTAGCTTGAAACAGGTGGTTTGCTATGGGATATGTTCAGTCTTGCAGGAGTAAGTTAGATGGCATCATGAGTGGCATGTTGCAGCTTCAGACTGCTACCGTGGTTGGCAGACACAATCCTCACGCCTTTTCAGTTTGCAGCTGCTGCAACGCCGCAACTTGCCATTCCTTAGGCCCTCCAGGGTGGCGCGCGTTGGGCTTCAATTCAATGAGGAAGTCTTGGTCTGGCATGTCCTTTAGCTGGCTTCGCATCAAGGTATCTTGCAAGAGGTTGCTAAACATGGGATATGTTCAGGCTTGCAGGGGAAGTCTGGGAGCCTGGGGAGGGGTGTTGCCTTGAGAAAAGGCCTGCAGTCGTTCGGACCAACTAGTTTGGCTGTGCCTAGAACTTCGTGGCACGCTTCAGCTTTCGACTGCTGCTTTGGTCGGCAGACGCAGTACTGCTGGCTGCGCTCACAGCTTTTCGGTTGGACACTTTGCCCCGCAGCACCGGCAGCGCCGCAGCTTTCCAGCCCTTGGCAAGCGTTGGTGTTCAACTGCCTGAAGCAGTCTTGGTCTAGCATTAGCTTCAATGGCTGGCTTTGCACCAAAACTGCTCACAAAAGGTTGCTTGGAGCGGCGGTATGTTCAGGCTTGCTTGAGAAGTTTGCTGGGAACCTGAGGAGTGGGGTGTTGCCTTGACTTGAGAAAACACCTGCAGTCGTTGGGACGAACGAGCTCGGCTGTGCCCAAAGCTTCGTGGCAAGCTTCAGCTTGTGGCTGTTGCTGTGGTTGGCGGATGCAGACTGCTGGCTGCCCTCACAGCTTTTCTGTTGGACACTTTGCCCTGCACCGGCAGCGCCGCAGCTTCCCAGGCCTTGTGCTTTCAAGGCGCAGTCAGCATTCGCGTTATTGAGCCGTAGAGGTTGGCTTCTTGTCAAGGTATCTGGTAAGAGGATACTTGCGCTGGGATATGTAGGAGGAGTCTCGAATTGCATTGTGAGGAGCACAGGGAGCCGTTCGGACCAACCAGCTTTGCTATGCACACAGCTTCAGCTTCGGCCCGCTGCGGTTGGCAGACACAGCACTGCTGGCCTCACGGCCTCACACCTGTTGCTTAGCTTTTCGGCTGCGAGCAGAAGACGGGAGCACGTCGGGAATTGATTTGAAGGATGCAGTGCTGGTCCAGCATTTGCCAGCCAGTGGCTTCGCATCACCGCTCGGACATGCAAGAGGTGAATAGTGAGGCATGCTCAGGCTTGAGAAGCACGCTGGCTTGAGTTGAGCAAAGCTCTCCCGAGCAGCTTAGCTGTGCCATGCTGTGCCCATAGCTCGAGGCACGATTCAACTTCGGACCGCAGCGGCTCGCAAACCAAGTACTGCCGGCGTGCGCACGCGCTCGCACCTTTTGAGTTGGAGGCCTTGCCTTGCAGAACTTGCCCTTTCAAAGCGGACGCGCACGTTGGGATTCACTTGAAGATGCAGTCTTGGCCTGGCGTTTGCTTCCGCGGCTGGCTGCGCAGCCAGATTCCTCGCAAAAGGTGGCTTGGAAAGGCTTGCACTGGGAACCCGAGGCGGGGTGTTGCCTTGCCTTGAGAAAAGACCTGCAGTCGTTCGGACCAACCCGCTTGGCTGTGCCTAGAACTTCGTGCAAGCTTCAGCTTTCGACTGCTGCTTTGGTCGGCAGACGCAGTACTGCTGGCTGTGCTCACAGCTTTTCGGTTGGACACTTTGTCCTGCACCGGCAGCGCCGCAGCTTCCCAGCCCTTGGCAAGCGCTGGGGTTCAGGCAGTCCTGAAGCAGTCTTGGTCCAGCATTAGCTTCAATGGCTGGCTTTGCACCAAAGTCGCTTGCAAAAGGTTGCTTGGAACGGGGCATGTTCAGGCTTGCTTGAGAAGTTTGCTGGGAACCTGAGGAGCTGGGTGCCATTTGAGCAAAAAACTGAGCGGTTCGATCTCGCCCAGGCCTGCTTTGTGGTAAGACGCAGCACTGCTTGCGTGAGCGCATGCGCCCCCACAGTTCGAATTGGATGCCTTGCAGCCTTGGCGCCGCAACTTCCCAGCCCTTCCGCTTTCAAGCCTGGCAGGTGTTGGAAGTAGTGGGGAGAGGGACATTGTTCTTGAGCTGCACACCCCCTCACGCGAAGCATGCGGAGAGCTTTGCAGAAGGGACTTCTTTCGCGGAAGCTTCGCGGAAGGTTTGGTATCTACTGCTTAACTTACTTTCCTACCCGCGCCAATGCTTTCGGAGCAAGGCTCGTAAAACATACGCGGAAGAACGCGGAGGCAAATGATGGGAAACCTGGATCGCGGAAGCCCCCGCAAGGAACCCCGAGGAACCCTGCCCCCCGGCCAAAGAAGCTTGAATCATGTCCTAGGAAGTTTCAGTCGAATAAAGACCAACGCTCACTTCACACTTATGCTGGCTTCTTATCAAAATAGCGCGCGAGCGGCTGCATGTTAGGGGTTTACGTAGCCTCCTGCGGCAGTTGAGGCAGAGGCACTGCTTGGATGTCGGTGATCTGCCCATGGTTTTGCAATGAGTTCGTCTTAGCGCCAGCGGACCTGGCGTTCGACAGATTCGACCGAGCTGAAGTTTGGCACCATTTGTGGAGCTTGCCAGGGCTGAGACTTGCCTCACTGCTTCCGCGCATCAGAAGCTCTCTGCGGTGTTTTTCTGCTTTTGGGCTGCTGGGCGCGCGGTTTATGTTGGCTGCCAGGACCGGCGTTCGATTTTTACTCGTCAGAGTCACCATGTTGCCATTGACTTAGGCCCAGCGTGGAGTGGTTGGAGTCAACTTGCTCGCATTTCTCCAGAGCTTTTCGGCAGTTGCAGCTTGCGACGGCTTCAAATGTTGGCAGACGCAGTGCTGCTGGCCGGCTGCGCTCACACCTCTTGAGTTGGGTTTTTGGCCCAGAACTTTGTGGCGAACGCCAGCTTCGGACTGTTGCTGCGGCTAGCCAGTTCACCGCTGGCCTACGCACGCGCTCGCTCAAGTCAAGCCACGTTGAACACTGTTGTGGCTTTGGTCAACCTTTACCAAGAAGTGGGCGCAACCTCAGCGCAGCATGGAGGGAGATCTATATATACTCGCTACGCGAGGCAAGACCAATAGTCGCTTGCTTCCTATCTGCTACAACTTGCGACAGGGTTCGCGGGCGCGCATGTCTTTACCAGTATAGGCAAGCACCAACTCAAAGGAACGAGCACTTGAGCCCAACCAACTTGGCGGTGTCCAGAACTTCGTGGCAAGTTGTAGCTTGAGATTGCCGTCGCAATTGTCCACTAAGCTATAGGCTTTCGCTTGCGGTCGCGCCTGCGTTTGATGCTTTGCCTTGCAGCACTAGAAGCGCCGAAGCTTGCTAGGCCCTTGCGCATGTTCACCCCGGATTAATAAACCCCTGGTTGATAAATAGGGGGTGTCCCCTTTTTAGTTTGGATTCGTCACTTTTGGAGGGAACACGCCCCCAATAATGGGATGGGTTTATTAAACCTTGGTCGACATTAGAACCCTTTAGATGACTTTGAGCGCTTTGAGCACTTGTTGTCAGACTCCGGGCAAACCAACAGTCAGTGCATAGGTGGAGTCTGCAGAGAAGCCTTGTCAAGCTTTAACTGCTCCGCAGTTCCAAGTTGTGCTGCAACATTTTGCAGACGCAGTCAACCTTGCCAAGACATGGGGCAAGCTCAGGGCATTTTTGAGGGAGATCTACTCGCCATGCCACATTGTCTTACCAGCATGAGACGCTTTTCCTGCGCAGCCGCGGCTTGCTTGGGCTGAGTGCACTTCTGAGTTGAAACATGGCGCAAAGTCTTCTACGAAGCACTGTGGAACGCCTACGAGAGTGTCCAACGCGGCTTGGCTTGACTTGAGCAAAGAAAAGAGAGCACTACAATGTTTTTTGGTTGCAGCTGGCCAGGGTATTGCTTGCCACGATACTTCTGGTTTGCGCATGCGCTCGTACCTCTTGCATTTGTTTTTGCTTTGCCGTGCAGCACCAGAAGAGTCACATCTTCCTAGCCCTTGTGCCATAGACACCTGACAATTTTGAGCGCTTCCAGAGCTGAGGCACAAAAAGTTTTCCACCGCGGCGATGCGCAAAGTCCCATTGGGTCAGCTTAGGCTTAAGCCCAGTTTTGAGCATGACCTTTTTGATGCGTTGGTGATTTGCGAGGGCTCTTTGGGTCACGACTTCGGATGAAGAAAAGAAAAGCGCTTCGGCCGGCATGCCTTGAGATACAAAGGATGACGTCTTGGTGTGGCTGCGCTGGCTGCGCTGGCTGCGCTGGCTGGCACACCTTGAAGGTGAAGACTTTGTCGTTTTGACATGGCCATGGGGCATAACCTATGGCTCCATTTTGGGGTGGATGAACATCCATTTTCCACCTATTTTCATGTTCGCCAGGGGTACAGGGTTTTGACCCACAGCCACATGAGCAAAGCACAGGACCATTGGGCGCGACCAGCTTGGCGGTTCCCAGAACCTGTGGCAAGCCTCAGCTTTTGGAGCGCTGCGGGGCTGGCCTGCGCATGATGCGCATCATGCCCTCGCAGCGTTTCAGTTCGATGCTTGCCTGGCGGCAACGGCAGCGCCTTGACTTTCCAGCCCTTGCGCTTCCAAGGTGGGCGCACGTTGGGAGCTCACTGTAAGCATGCCGTCTTGGTCTAGCGGTCACTTTGGCTGGCTTCGCATCACTGTAGCCCGGACCTGCAAGAGGTTGCTTGGAATGGGACATGCTCAGGCTTGCGGAAGTCTTAGATGCCCAGCTCGGCTGTTCGTGATTGTCGCTCAATTTTGCCTTCGCCAAGTCGTGTTGCAAAGCCACACTCCACTCGTCTCCGTGTAGCAGGTGCTTCAAGGATTGGCTTCGATTCAAGGTAGCTTGCAAGAGGTTGCTTGCAAGAGGATATGTTCAGGATTTAGCAGGAGGAGTCTTGAATCGCATGACGAGCATGACTTTGCAGAGCCGTTGGGCCCGACAAGCCAAGGCTTGGCGGTGCCCAGAACTTCGCAAGCTTCATCTTCGGCCGGCTTCTGCGGTTGGCAGATACAGTACTGGCCTGCGCATGCCCTCACACCTCTTGCTTAACTTTCCAGCACTTGTGCTTGCTGTCCTTCCAGGGTGGGCCCACGGTGGGCATTGATTTAAAGGATGCAGTCGTGTAGCATTTGCTTTAGTGGCTGGCTTCGATCTCATCACCGTGGCCCGGAGCTGCAAGAGGTTGATCACGGGGCATGCTCAGGCCTGCGTGAGTGTTGGATCGGCTGTTGGGGGTTGCCAGCGCCCTTTGCCACGCCTCGTGATTGTCGCTCAATGTTGCCTTCGCCAAGTCGTGTTGCAAAGCCACACGCCACACATTGATCCCCCTTCTCCTGAGTGCCACTCACGGCTTTCTTGAGGCACGTTCATTCACGCCAGCCTTTCCTGTTCGTGTTCCTAAAGTTGCTCTGGGGCGTTCCCATGAGTAAATCGACTGCCTGCATTGATTTCCCAGCCTGTGGCCGCCGGAAATGCCGCAAGCGGCTGCGAAGGCGGCTGAACAGTGAGAGTTGTTTGCAGTTGTGGCCATTAGTGGATATTCCCAGATTCGCGGATTCCTAGCAGAAATCACGCAGACAATCAACTTTTTATGCGCAGGTCATGTTACAGTTACAGTCTCAGGACAAAGGCATCATAGCTATCAGAACCGTCTTGGAGCCCCCCGCTGCCACCAGCGATTCCGCTTTGCAGCTGCATTTCTCCACACTGACACCAGTTTATGCTGCACGTTCCGCTCGATTCTCGAATGTTGGCTATGTTCTCTTGCCGGCTGCCCGGCTGCCCGGCCGGGTGTGGCCCAGTGGTTCAGCTTCCCTGACAGTCTCAGGCCTGGCCCAAGCCCGCCATGGCGTGACAGAAGTGTGCGGCGTGACATTGCCAGGTGAGTTACTGGGTCAAAATGAAACCACCAGGCGACCGCAGGTTTTGGTCCATGTTTCCACTTGCCAGGGCTCCGTTTTGGGTACCTATTCTTGACCCACACCCAGGTGAGTTACTGGGTGAGGGGTTCGAGGAACACAGGGCCCAGTCGGGGGTTAGACCCGTTTCAGGATTCAACAGACGCACCGACCAATGACGGTTGGCCCGACGTTCAAAGCCCTTGGCCTAAGCCATGAAACATGTTTCAAGGGCGTGAAGATGGAATTGGGAGCTTGAAGGAAGCCGGAGGTCCGTTGGACACATGGCCTTGTTTCTTTTTTTTTTCCCAATGCTTTCAGATGCCACAATAGTAGCTCAGGTTTCTCACCTCTCGGTTTCACATGATGGTTCCCCCTTGGTTCGCTGCTGACCTACTCTGGAATCCAGAGCACTACTTGGGTGTTCAACCAACTTCCTTTACAACAATGGTTATAACCTACTTACTAAGGAACCTACTTTGTATCCTACTTGTTACAACCTACTTTACAACCTAAAGTGTTATAAGTTATAACCTACTTGCCTGGTCTTGGTTGAACACCCAAGTAGGCCAGTTCACCTCAACCACGGCAACTTGCGGCTCTCCCTTCGCCGTTCGCTGTGTCTCGCGGGTCTTCGCCGAGGAAAGCTGTTCACCGTCTTCAGCGCCTCCAACTACTGCGGCCTAACAGGCGAGCCTCGAGCCTCGAGCCTCTGCTCACTCCCGGGGTTGGGCTTGAGCCAGTGTTGGGGTTGGATTTGAGACACCTTTTCGGGTTGGACCATTTTTAGTGGCAACAAGTTTGGACGTGATTTGTGCCACTTCCGCTCAGGAAGCGAGTTTCAGCCAACGACCTGGGCCGATTTTTTTGCCGAGGGTAGGCTGAAAACGTGGTGCTGTCTGAGAAAACAGGCATTTTTTGAACCCTCTAAATTGGCTTCGGAGTGTCCCCTCGCCACCCTGAGTGGGGAACGCAGCTGCAGTTTGTATTCAATTGCTTGCGCCACAATAGGCACCTGGTGACTGCCCCTGGAGTGCGGGCATTTAGTTCCAAGCCCAATCTGAAATTCAAATTAGTTGCATTGCCGCCGGAGGATGCAGGAGGGCCTCTCGATTCCCGAAGACTGGTGTTCTCACCCGGGTCATGGACTCCAATCAGCCCCAGTTGCCTTTGGCGTTTGATGGATTTTGTAAATTTGTTGAGACACAAGGGAGGTTCCTGCAGCAAACCTGTGGACGCCCGTATCTTACCCGTAGCTCCAACAAAAAGCTGTGTTTCAGGAGAACATCGTGTTTAGCAACTCGTAGACAACGCGTTAAACACCCGTAGCAACCCGTGGTAACCCGTGGAATTTCATGGGTGTTCCAGGGTGCGCCATTGCGTTTGCTCTTCGTGGCAATGATGGATCCACTGGTTTGAACCGAAGCTGGCAGGGGCAAAACTGCCTTCGCCGATTGGGGCATTTTTTGCGAACTGAAGACTCTGTGAGCTGTGGCCCTCGCGAGGGCCGGCAATGTGCATGCATACCTAATCCGCTGAAGTAGAATTGTAGCTTGCAGACACATGCTGAAATGCTCGAATCTGAACACATTTTGTTTTCCCAAGCAACAAAAAACCTTTGTTTTTCCTGGTTGTCACATGTTCATCGATTTCTGAGGCTCCTGGTACCAACAAAAAGGGTCGTTTCCTTTTGGTCGTATCTCAAAGTGATGGACACCTGTAAGTGGTTCCTTTTCCTATTGGTTTTTCTTGCGAACTATCCAAAAGGGTCTCCTGTTTGGAGATGTACTTTGGTAGCCCGCTTAACCTTACAACAATATTGTCTTTGAATTGCCGGATATTTTCGGATCGGAGTTTCCACTGCCAGAGGCACACCTTTTTTGCCCTGCCCGTTTGGGTTTCCTGAGCATGCTCCCTTTGACCCAGCAAATCAACGGCTGCTGTCAAAAGTCTGGTAAACTCCAGAAAGGTTTCCCTTTCACAGGATTCCAGCCGAGCTTCTTCAAATGGTGGACGCCCTTTTGGCATTCTCTCGGGAAACCGAAAGGAAAGAATCACCTGAAGGGACCAGTACAAGGGTTGATTCCCGACCATTTTAGTATGTTTTTAGTCAAGGTCCCAACAGGTCAAGCCTTCATTTGCAGCTCCTTGGGGCAAGTGAGTCAATTGGGGGGGGCTTCTTCGCCACGGCAGTCTCCATGACCCACGCGAGCTCGAAAAAATCCGGAGGCAACCAGGGGGCCGTGCTGGTTCTGAAGAAGGATAGCGCCCCCGCCGCGATTCCAACGATTCCACCAAGCAGCCAAGGGATCGGCGACGACGGAATAACCGGACCCAATGATCAAAGGATCAAAGAGAGGCCAAAGGAAGTCCTAAGGATCCATTGGAACCGCAGGTTGCGGAATTGACAAGTCCCAGAGGGAACAGCCACACGTCACCCACCAAGAAGTGTTGCACGCTTGAGAAGTTTTGGCATTCGGTTGCTGGAATTCAGGGGACACAATCCACAAGACCCCAGAGAGACCCTTACCCCTTGCTTAAGACTAGTTCATGAGTTGTCATGCCAAAGAAGCTAGTAGAGGCACCCATTCCGAGTGGTTCACTTGATACTTTTCAACAACAAGAAACATGTGGGTGTGTATTTTTCTCACAGGTACCTGTTTGGGCTGTCTCTTGTTTTTTTTCCCCGGAGAAGCAGAAGGAACCATAAAGTTTGGGTCCACTCGGACACAAGCGGATCGATCCATCTTCCACTTCCAAAAACCCAACCTTGGCCTCAAGTGGCCAAAGCCAAAGGCATCTTAGGCTGAATGGGACTTCATATTAATTAACCCAGTTTATTAATAGGGGGCGGGGGCTTCAAAAGTGGTCTGATTCCCCACCAAAGCCAGGGAGAAGCACCCCCCCTATTAATAGAATGGGGTTGAGGTCAACAGTATTGACAGAAGAAAAGGCTTATTTTTGCTTCTTTCGGTGTGGATTAAGAAAGGAAGCAGAAGAGCAATGAAGGTTTGGTTGCTGTAGCTTGGGTTTATCGCAAAACTTGGACAGCTGAGCCCCGGTTATATTTTTGTCGGAGGTTGAGTCACAGAGCGACGTTAGCTGTACCTGGACTTTCCAACAAATGGGTTATTGCAGCCCAGACTTATGGTTGCTGAATTGCCCTGTTTATGGGTTTTAGGGTACAGGTAGGCAACTTAGTCTAGTTGAACTTCTGCAAGCTTAGTATCTCGAGTGTAGAGCTTGGGCTCAAGCCGATGTACCATTGGCTGTTGCCCATGCCAAGTGAAGACATGAAGCCAGAGCACTTCCTTTGCATGAGCACGCACATGGTGCAAGACATGCTTGCCCGGCGCCTGCTCTGCAAAGGTTCGCACGTGGCCGTCGCTCAATGCACAGCGGCTTAGTGCAAAGCGGCTTGGCTATCTAAAGCCAGAAGATTCTCGCAGGAAAACCAGTTTCCAAGGGCTTTAGTTTCTGAAAAGGTGCCCTTTGGCCGCATCTTGTGACCTTCAGGAGCCCAATTTCAGCCTGCGTCTCAGGAAGCGCAGAAGTCATTTCGGAAGGCAGCCCAACGCCGACTGGCGGACCAACATGCGGCCACTTGATGGGAACAGTAGAAATGTATTCGCCAAGGTTCGCCTCGGCTTCGCGTGGCTTCACGTCACCCGCCTGTCCCATTTTCGGGAGCGGAGGGCTCGATGCAGTGTGCCTTCGGGCTGTGCTCCGATCGAATGCCGGGCACATGTCCCATTTCAAAGACGCCAGCCTTGCCTCTGCAAAACCCAGATGCTACAAGCAGTTGCGAAGAAGCCCGGCAACTCAAGCACAGGAGGGCTTGCAGAAGACCTGTCAGCTGGCTGTAGCCTTGGGCAGTTGCCGGTTTCCACCAACTCGCAGCCGTTCATATCCGTTGGCGCCTGCTTGATTGAAGATTTGGTTGCAGTTGCGTGTTCATGTTAGCCTACAGGCATGTGCATGGCTTCCAGAGCTCGCCAAATCATGAGTCAAAGACCTGGCCCCACGTGAGCTGTTGGGTTCCTGCGAACCGAGCTGCGCCCTTGACCGCCGGGCACATACCCCATTCCATAGACGCTAGCCTCTGCACAATCAAAATGCTACAAGCCGCGCATTTCGACCGTGAACAGTATGCTAAGAAGACGAGCTGTCTGCTCAGTGGATGCAGGGTGCTATCACCCCAGAAGGCTTGAAAAAGACCTGTGTGCTGGATGTGGCCTTGGGCAGTTGCCCTTGTTTGGAGTCATGCCGGGTTCCAAGTCCCAGCCGTCCATATCGGTTGCAGTTGCATGTTCACGTCAGCGGGCATGCGCAGTTCTTTCGGAGCTCGCGAACCCATAAGTCAAAGAGCTGCCGCACGTTAGTGTAGGCAACTTAGTTGAACTTCTGGAAACTTGGTGGTAGCTAAGCGTCAGAAGGCGCCCATTCCCCAGAAAGTGCCAGATGGATCCATCTTAGCTTGCGGGTTGACAGAAGTCAGGTGTCACTGGCATTGCACTGCGTTACCTCCTGCGGCCTTGCCGGGCAGTTACCCATCTTCGGAGCCATGCCGGGTTCTAAGTCCCAGCCGTCCGTCTCCGTTGGTCATGTTAGGCTAAGCACTCGCAACGGACATGTGCAGCTCTTTCGGAGCTCGCGAACTCATGAGTCACGGAGCTGGCCGCACGTTAGTGTAGCAACTTAGTTGAACTTCTGCAAACTTGGTGGCAGCTAAGTGTCAGAAGGCGTCCATTTCCCAGTAAGTCCCAGATGGGGCCATCTTAGCTTGCGGGTTGACAGAAGTCAGGTGTCACTGCAAGGCTTGCGGCCGACTTGCACTGCGCTGGCTGCGGCCTTGCAGGGCAGTTGCCCATTTTCGGAGCCATGCCGGGTTCCAAGTCCCAGCCGTCCATGACTTTTATTTTCTTGGAGAGTGGCTTTCCAACGCAGAATGTCGTGCTGTAGTACTTGCGAGTGGATTCGAAAACTGCAAAGGTCCAACACCCGTGATTGGTTCCTCAAAGTCGCTCTTACATGCTCAGGATGTCAAGCCCTAGAAGGAGTGACTGCGCTTGCGCAACATCTTTCATGGCCCCGGTGGTTGGGTCCTTGCGCAGCACCTCTGCTAAGTATCAACTCCACCATGGCCAGGATGCCTTTTGGGCATCCAAGGCTTGTGAAGTAAGAAGGGCGTGTTGGTGAGCAGCTCCCGCTGGTGAAAATTTGACTCCTACAGCTTCAGCCCTCACTTCTGCCGTCTGGGTGTAGGGTGCACGTTTAGATTGGTTTGCCAGAGGCTGCCGTTGTATCTCTGCAAGAAGTCTCTGTGGAAGCAAGAGTACCATCATTCTATGGGAGTACTGGTCGTGTCCTTAGCATTGTACAGGCTTGCAGGAGAAGCATCAGATGGCATTATTTGCCTTGACTTGAGCATACGGAGCCGAGAGACCTAACCAGCTTGGCTCTGACGTGGCAAGCTTCAGCTTCGGGCTGCTTCGGCTGGTCCTGCGTGTCTCAAAGTTTTGGAGTTGGATGCTCAGCCGCACGCCTTGGAATTCAGCCCAGCGCAGTCTTGGCCTACATTTGCTTCAGCTGGCTTCCCCGGGTAGCTCGCAAGAGATAGAGGGGAGTCACGCTCCTAGCCATTCCAGCCGGGCTGTTGGGATGCCCAGCGATTAAGCTTTCAAGGCTGGCGCGTGTTGGGGTGTTTTGCTTATTGATGCAGTCTAGGTCTACCATTTGCTGCGACTGGCTTCATATCAAGGCTTGCAAGAGGTGGCTGGCACGCGTTGGGGCTCAGTTCAATGGTGCAGCCTTGGTCTAGCATGTGCTTCTGTGGCTGGCTTCGCATCCGGTTGTGGCTTACAGAAGCCTCTGGTTGTGCGCACCAAACTTGCGGCAAAGCGAGAGGTAGGCGCTGCTCGGATGGCATCAGACCTGGATGCGCGAGTGTGATGCGCTTTGAGGCGGTCAGTTTGACTCACCTCAGGTATCGCGCACCTCAAACGAGCTCTGTTAAACCATGTCAAGTCAAGACACTCCACGAGTGACACGCTTCAGGTTTGACATGCAAATCACTGCGGCTTGTCCGTTACGGATTACCAAATCTGATGCACTATTTCGTGAGAAGACTAATTAGGGTATGAAGAGAGGGTGAGGTATTCCGTACCCACGTATAAGGGGGACAATGTGGCCTGGTCAACACGCTGTCGCAACGCGCCACGAATGCGGACATCATGAAGGCACTGCGTAGCGCTTGGCATGGTGCGTCACGGCTTGCTCCGTTTTCTCCGGCTGCTTGGAATGAGCTTTCTGTTGGCTGCTTGGCAGTAGCATTAGATGGCATGAGCAGAACCATTGCGCCTTGACTTGAGCAAACTACGCAGCCGTTCCACACCAGCGTGGCTCCCAGACCGACGTGCCAAGCTTCAGCTTCGGACTGCTTCTGCTCACACCGCTGATGGCCACACTGCTACCTTGGGCATGTGTTTCCTTGCAGCGCTGGCCTCCGCGCATCGCGCTCTGAAGGCTTTCTGACGGCTTTAAGCATCGTAAGGTACGACGGCGGCGCTGCAAATGCGGTTCATCCCTCGCAATACGGCTCTAAGTCTTACTGAAGGGTCCCTGATTTAAATTCATAGCCATACTAGCAAGGACAGGTGGCAGAGCAGCGTATCTCCCTCCACGCTGCTCTGAGGTTGCGCCCATGTCTTTGTAACGGTTGACCGCAGGCACAGCAGTGTTCAATGCGGCTTGACTTAGACGTAAAGAGCGCTTGGGCCCAACCAACTGGGCTGTTTCCAGAGCTTCGCGGCATGTTGCAGCTTGAGACCGCTGTTGTGGTTGGCAGCTGGCCACAGTACTGCTGGCCGCTGTACTGCTGGCTTGGGCATGTGCTCGCGTCGTTCGCATTTGTTTGACTTGCAGCGCCAGCAGCGCCGCATCCAAACTTTCTGACTGTCTGAGATGTTCGAGCATCACTTGCGAGGGTGAACCCAACAGAAATTTGCTCAACCGCTGCAAGCCGTGGTTTGAGGCTGTTACCAACAGCTTGACTTCTTCATCCAAGTTCTCAGGGTCTTGTGTCCCAAGCTTACAGACGTTTCGAACCATTCCATTCATCTTACGCCGTCCCTTTTCCCGCCTCTTTACGATTGGTTTTCTGGAGGCGGAATAACGAACGGAGGTCTTTATTGGGCTGCAAAACGGGATTCTAGTTGGGCCCCGCTTACCCTTCACACCGCGGCAGGTTTCGCGGAAGGGGACCATACGTCCAAACTAATTCAAAGGGGATAAAAGCCACCACTCAACTGGCTTGGCTTTGCCCCGAACTTCGTGGCAAGTTCAAGCTTGCGACTGCTGCTGTGGTTGGCAGACAGAGTACTGCTGGCCACGCGCGTGCACTGGCGCCTTTTGAGTCGGATGCTTGCCTTGCAGCAATAGCAGCGTCGCAACTTCCCAGCGCTTCTGCTTTCAAGACGCGTTCAAGACGCTTTCAAGGCTGGGTTGCCTTGGGAGTTGATTTATCGACGCAGTCTTGGTTCAGGATTTGCTTCAGTCGCTGGCTTCCCATCGAGGTAGCTCGGGCAAATTTGGATTAAACTTATTCAAACCAACTTAGCTACGCCAGTTGCCAACGCCCCCTGGCGTGCCCGATGACGGTTGCTTAAACGTACTATGTCTCTCCACTTTGCTTTTGGGTGTCGCAAAGCCACACTCACACTGATCCCCTTGAAGCTGCGACGGTCACGGCTTTCTCTGAACAACTTGGAATTGCCATCCTTTCGTGCTGTTCGTCGTGGCCAGGGCGTTACCAGATTGACAGCCTGTGAGTTCCCAGCCCGCCGGAGATGCCGCAAGCGGCTGGGAAGGTCTTTGCAGCTCGGCGCTTTCTCGCCGCCAGCCGGCTAGACGAAACTTGATGTGCGGGCGAGCGAGCAAGCGGGAGGTAGGGAGAGAGGGAGGCAGGGAGCGAGGGAGGGAGGGAGGGAGGGAGGGAGTGGCAGGGAATGGCAGGGAATGGCAGGGAATGGCAGGGAATGGCAGGGAATGGCAGAGAGGGAGGGAGGGTGGCAGGGAGTTCGCGTTCTAGGAGACCAAGCTGTTGTCTTTCTTGCATTTGTCCAACGCTGATTGTTTTTTTTTGTTTTTTTTCTTCGGCTAAACAGGTTCATCAGGCAGCGATGTAGGTTGTTCGACTCGCGGTCGACCGTGTCCACTGCGTTTTTCAGAGTGGCTCAAGACGATGTACCTGTATTGGCCTTTGCCATTCGGGCATGTGCCTTGGCTTGGAAAAAGGTGTGGCTTCCTTGGCAAGTGAGGAAGTGAAGCCACACCACTTCCTTTCAAACTAAGCGCGCACATGGTGCAAGACATGCTTGCGCGGCGACTGGGCTGCTAACGCGTGGATGTGCCAGCCGTGGTTCAATGCAACAGGCGCTCACTGGATTCTATCCCAAGCCAGAAGATTCTCACAGGATGCCAAGTTTCCAAGGGCCATATTCCGAAAAGGTTCCCTTTGAGGAAGCCAAGACCCTGGTGATGCTGGGGATGTTGGCTGGACATGCGGGGGATGTTGAAAACGATGCTGATGATGTTGACGGACTAGCGCAAAATACGTACATTTCGCGAGAACATGCTGTAAATTACAGCATCTTAGTAGCCATGACGGAAAAACACAATCTCGGCCCTTTGTCCAACGCTGATTGTTTTCCGGCGAAACAGCTTGCATGTGCCCATCAAGACATCAGTTTCTTTGACTTCTCATTAGGCAGGCGACTTGCGTTGTTCAACTCAGTTTTCGATGTGCAGATGTGAAGGCAGGCGACGTGCAGATGTGAAGTGCCCGCAGTTTTCGTGATGGCCAGCTCGTTTTGCATGGCATCTTAGGTTAAACTGGGTGGCTCGCAGCCATCAGGTTCAACTTAGCTTTTTGAGTTCTGTAGTTGGTTTAATGGTAGTTTCCAAATTTGACTGAGGGCAGCCAGGTTGCTTTGCCTTGGCTGTTGGACCCACAGCTCTCTGCCCGTGCCGCAAATCTAAAAGCCCGCTGCACGTTTTTTTTTTGTTTTTTTATGCGGTGCAGTATGGTGCAGTGTTTGCTTCAGTGGCCAGCTTTGATAGCCTATGGCTTGCAGGAGTGTTGGCACGACCAGCGGGCGTGTTGCCGAGACTTGAGCAAGGCATGGAGCCGTTGGGCCCAGCCAGCGCTCAGCTTTCCCGAGCGTGGCGAGCTCCGGCTTCGGCTTCGGACTGCAGCGACTGGCAGTCGGCAGTCGCAGCTGGCCGGCGCGTCGCGCCTTTATTTGGGTTTGGGTCAAAATAAAACCGCCAGGGGACCGCAGGTGTTGGTCCATGTTTCCATTTGCCAGGGTGCCATTTTTGACTCACAGCCAGTTGATGCCTTGCAGCACGGGCCGAGCCGAAACTTCAAGGCTTCGCAACCGTTTGGGGTTCAAATCAATGATGTACTCTTGGTAAAGCATTTGCTTTAGTGCCTGGCTTCGCGCAACATGCTGGCAACAGGTTGCCTCGAATGGGATTTGACTTAGGCTTGCAGGATGAGCCTTACGTGGCATCATAAGCAGCATCATGTTGGCACAGAGCTACTGGATCAACCAGCTTCGCTGTTTTCGGAACGAGGCAAATCACATCCGGGGCGTTTCCCTTATATTGGGCCGGACATGCTCCGGGGCGCCTTTGCGACTGAACATAGGCCAATCTCGTAGGAACCCTGAGCACAAGAGAATCGTCACAGAGCTTTGTGGTTTCGGGTCCTATGGAAGCAGCCGTTTGATGGCAACCTTTGGTTTAAGGGGCGCAGCCCATTTTCTTCGGTTTGCTCAAGAATAACTCAAGAGCAATTTGTCGGTTTCCCGTCTTGGTTTTAAAGGAAAGCAATTTCAATCACTATACTGTAATGGAATTATTTTATGAACAGAAGCGAAATTAAGCGAATGTAGAATTCTAGAGGGAATCCAAATCGCTTTGGGGACACGCTCTCTATTGATCCGTGAGGTTGATTAATCCGGGGTCAGCATGATGAATGTTGGAAACACACTCGAAAACCATTGCATGGAGTTTGGAGGGGACCGTGAGAAGATCGTTGCCAGAGCGTCATACATGGGTTAGAAGGCAGGGGAATGAGCTGAAATGACCCCCTATACCTCACTGCGCCATTATTCTAGGTAACCAAGGGAAGCGTGATGCAAAACCTGGTAAAAGCTCCCTGGATACCTATAGCAATAACTGCAACTGGAAACTATGACAAAACTTGTGGTTTCCTCTAAAAAGTCTGATTTAATCGGTTCATTCCGATTCAAACCCCCATTTGGACCAAGGAAGGCCGACACATGGCCCTCAAAGTGACTTGTTTTTTCGCCGAGTGGTGTTTTGCATGACGCGTTTTGCAGGGACTCCCAGCTGAGGATATGACTTTGAAGCTTCTAGATTTGCCTTCCCTCGCACTCAGGTCACGACCAGATGTCGTCTTGTCGAGGGCTTGAGTCATTTGGGTGGCCCAGAGACCGAGAACCTTTGGCATCCAACCCAAGAAGTTCGGACTTTTGCCATGGGGGGTCCCCCCCCCCAGCCCCAGCCCCCTGTTCGGGCTCAGAATATCCGGGGTCAACATCATGCCAGCTGATCACTCCCTGAAATGTCCATAAACAATCAAAACCCGGGCAAGTGAAGGTAAGGGACAATCCGTCAGCCATGGGTGCGGAATTCTGGTTTCTTTGTTTTTTTTTCTTTACCATGGTTTTTTGGGATGACCATTTTAAGATTGGTTTTGATCATGACTTGCCTGTGAGTACCTTAGGGATGGCAGCTCTGAAAGCAATGAACAAAACAACATGAGCAACACAATCAAACCATTGAAGCCATTCAGGTCCTCATTGGCACATTGGTTGTTCTCTACAAATTCGGGTAGAACCCTCCACCAAGCATGCCCGAAAACCCAGGAACCCAGTGTTCCATTTACCACTATAGCAGGCAACCAGGGCTTTCTAACTCCATTTCGTAGAATGGCCAGTTTCACCTTGTTACCCAATACAGTGGCTTAGGCAGACCCAAGTCGCGCGATGAATATTGCCTTATTAATCCCCGATAGTTCAACTTCCTTCCGTTCTTTTTTCGTCCAAGGGGACTGGCATAACACTAAGTCCAGAAACTTGGGACCCAGAGGCTCCCGATTGATTTGGGGCCTGGGGTCGGTCTTCCATTGAAAGGTCCAGGAATCTTTGGGGAGGTGAACTTCTCGCCAGAGGCCCCATGAGGTCCCTGACTCCTGGAGCTCCGCCATCGCCAGGCAGCATCGAGGCGGTGCGGCACATGGCGCCCCCCTTCGAGCGGCTCAAGGAGGTGGTCATCGAGGCGCCAACCGCGCCAACCGCCGGGTCGAGCGTCGAGCGTCGTTAAAACAAAACACCGCCAATAAAAAGGGGGCATGGGTTTAACTATCAATCATAACTGTTGGTTGCAATGTCCAATTTGTCAGGTTGGGCTTTTGAGCGTCCAGGCCTCTAAAGAAATAAACAAAAACAACATACATATATATATATATACACATAATATGGTGTGCGCCATACCAACCTTTGGGAGGTGATCTCTACTCTTGAAACCTTGACATACCACCCGTGATGGGGCTCATATCCCACCCGAAAATGTCTTCCGAATCTCAACCAAAATTCGCAGCTGAAGACCTTGTTATTGCAACCCCCAAAACAGTGGGGACTTCCAACTTGTTATGGGTAGTTTGAGGGTTCCCCTGTGGTGCGACAAGTCAACACATTGCAAGAGTTGCAACCTTCTGAGGGGCTGGCCAGGACACACAAGGCAGTCTTGGAATTTGGCTTTTTTCCAAGACATGGGCGCTGCGATGGCAGAAAAGAAAAGGACCTAAATGGTGACAACCAAAGGGTCTGGGACACATTCAATTTCGCACCATGACTTAATGTGTTTTTTTTCAGAACCCCACAACCATTACTTAGTCCCTTGTAATTATTGCTTGTGTTTGTGTGTTTACCCCTAGATTTTCGCAATCATGGCATCCCCAGGCCTGCATGACGGTAGTGTCCACTCATTTCTTTTCTTTCTGGTTCTTGGCAGCGGATCAATTTCGTGGTTTTGGGCATGAACCTCCGTTTTTCGGTGTTGTTTCTTGGTTGCCTCCAGGTGTTTAAGAACGGATGGGTTCCCTACCGCTGTTTTGGAGTTGGGGGGGGGGGGGGGAAAACACCCGCCTGGTAGAGAATCCATTTTGTCTTTGGGGGAATTAACCAGTTGGATCCCCGCAAGGCAAAACCACAAGTTGTGGACGTGACTGCAAGGGTCGGTTGCCAAATCACGGCGATCCGTTTTCTGATGCATGTTGCACTGAATCGACGGGGGTCTGTTCGTGTTGGTTTTTGTTTCAAACTGGGATCAAAAAGGGAGGTGCCAATAGGAAAAAGAAGGAACCATGGGAACCCTCCCACCAACTTACCAACGGGAAGTGGAAGTCACAAGGGGATGGGCAGGGCTTGTTTGAGGGCACACACCGAACTAGATTTCGGTTTCCCCTTACTTGTGTCCCCTTTAAACCAACCCAAAAAGCTTACCCTCAAAGAAAGACACCCCTCATGGGCGGGTCTTTTTTGATGGAACCCTTTTTTCGAACCATTGGCTGAAGTTCAACAGGACATGCAGACCGCTCACATTCGCTTTGGTGATTCTCTCGTGTGGAGGTAAGCAGGGCTTGGCCCCATCGGCTTGTTGCAGTAGCATTGCTGCATTGCGATAATTAACATTGTCAGCTCATATTCGGCAGGCACCGTCCGCGTTTTTTTTTTTTTTTTTTTTTTTTTTAACTGTCTGCCGAGATCCACCGAGCATATACACGCATACATATTATACTGACCGTCCCATTTAGTAAGCACTGGAACACTTTCAGGGGATGTTTCGACTGGGAATAGTCACAACCTGCTAATGCTTCTTGGTTTCATCATTGACCTGAAGCTTTTCAATAGCCGTGAATAGGGAACCACCTGGTGAATAGGAATGCCCCACCTAAATGATGCCCAGCAAAGGGTCCCCAAATGATCAGAGTCTCTTCCATCTGCTGAAGAATAGTATTGACTTGCCGCTGCTGTTTGTTTTAGTTGGAATCTATCACTGGAAATATATGACTAGTCCCCTAGTATTGCCCTTTCACCCTTTTTTGGGGCAGGGTTCCCCTACTAAAATAGACTACAGAAAAAAAAGGGTAGTACCCTTATTCTATCCTCTCCACTGAAGGACCTAGATAAGATTTTTCCCAGGAAAATGGAAGCTGTTGCGCATCTGGGGCCATAGCCAAAATGGAGCCGTCCAACAAGGGGCAAGCGCCGAGGCGCCAGCGGTTGCCGCTGAAGCAGCCGCCTCAGACCGGTCAAGCTTTGGGACATCTTGCGCGGGTGTGAATTTTAATCCCAAGCCCTGAGCAAGAACCAGCAATACGCTTGTGTTCTTTTCAAGGAAAACAGTCTCCCCCCCCTCCCCTAAAACAAAGAGAGTCACACCCGTACTTGGATATTCAACAAACATCTTGTAAGTAGAGTATGCCCATGGTTGTAAGTCAAACCTCAACCAGCCCAGTTATAACCATGGTTGTAACCTACTTACCTGGGTTCACTTCACTGTTGTTGCCACATTTACCCCCCAAAAGTTAGACTAGACCTTGCCCATCTTTTTTCTATAAAAAAACCTAGGGTCCTCCCTACACTTTTAGCAACATTTTAAAACAGCACCTCAAACAGCACATTTTCAAAAATCAACATTTTAAAGCAGGTAATTTCCTAGTAAGTTCATCCATATTTTAAAAAATAAATTTTACAAAATAATAAATTTTAAAAAATAAATTTTACAAAATAATAAATTTTACAAAAATTTTAAAAAAATAAATTTTCAAAAAAAAATAATTTTAAAAAATAAATTTTCAAAAAAAAATAATTTTAAAAAATAAATTTTTAAAAAATAAATTTTAAAATAATAATAATATAATTTTAAAAAATAGATTTTACAAAAATTTACAAAATAAATTTTCAAAAAAATATAAATTTTAAAATAATAATAATATAATTTTACAAAATATAATTTTACAAAATTTTCAAAAAATATTATTCCAAAAATTATGATAAATTATTTTACAATAAATTTTATCACAATTTTTGTAGACATATTATGGGCAAGGTCTGGTTCATTCGTTTTTTACGGGCACCATTCTTCCTTAATTCTTTCTATTATTTTATCACACGTTGTTTCATTATAAATATTACTTCCTATTTGTTTTCTAAACATTCCCATTATTCCAATTGCACGTGTTATTGTATATCTAAGTTCGTGAGTTTTATACTCATCATTTAAAAACTCATTTAAAAAATCAAACAATATAACATATTTTAAACGTTTAATATTAAAAGAAACGTTATATAATTTTTTTACCATACTATAATACTTAAAAATAAAATCATTATTATATCCTTCGTCATCACACTCAGTTAGTAAATTATCAAACCCTTCTATAGTTAAGAAATTATTCATTACAATAAACACAAATATTTCTAAATCGTCATCAAGAGTTTCATTATTTATAATATCAATATCTTTGTTATTCATATCATCAATTTTGTTTATAATTCTATTGCAATTATTGCATATAATGTATTGACAAATATTATTACAAACGCCATTTGTAAAACCGCGTTCAATTGGTAATTTTAGCATTTCACAGTCTTTGCATTTATAACTCATAAACCTTTTTTTCAATATATTTTTAGCATCGTGGACTGTATCACTCATCAAACTATATAATAGTATTATAAAATATTTCTTTAAATACTTTTTACAAGAATTTTAATTTAAAATTAAATTAGGTTATGTAGATAAAATTTCATAATTTAAGTTCAGGATAATAATTTAATTGATGACTACTAAGTTGTATATATAACTTATGTCTTTCATGCATTATTTTTAAAATAATATTAATATCTCTCACTGTATTTTTAACATTAAACTTTTTACTTTCAATATATGTTTTAATGTCTTCTTTTACATCAAAACCTTCCCTGCTATAATAGGTCAACATCCATAATATACCTTCAATCATTTTATATTTTTTCTTACTGATTTTTAGAAATATTCTAACATAACTATAAGGTGGTCTTCCGTACACAGTTAAAAATATTAAAATGTCATCTTCAACATTTCTTTTATCTATTTTTTTAATCTCCAAAATATTTTCTATTATATTTTGATATCGTCGCCATCTTCTGCAAGTTCTACATACATCTTCTTCGTCCAATGCATAATCAATAATATTATTCACTATTCCATTATGTAAATTCAATTTATACAATTCCATATTTTCCTTTTTGAAGTGGCAACAATCATAGCATTTTTTATTGATATAACTATTGATTTTGGTTTTCATCATCTCGCTATATAATATATATAGGTAATATTTCTTTAAATACTTTTTACAAGAAATTTAATTTTAAATTAAAATTAAATTAAAATTATAATTATATTATCATAATTAAATTAAAAATTATCATCATTTACAACTACAATTGCATAATTTACAAAATGGGATGATATTTTCTATTGTATGAGTTAATTCATTATCTTTTCGTTGTGCTGTTAGATTTGTAATGATATTACCATTTTTCATATCAATAGTAAAACCACATCCGCAGTAATTACATTGATTATTTATATTATCTAGAAACCATTGAGTATTTACATAACCTTCTCTAGGTATGCTTCTTTTTGCTTTCCTGTCTTGTTCCTTATAATTCAAAATTTTCCTTTCAAAATAACTCATAATACATTTTTGATTAAATACATCATCAACATCCTTTGTATATTTATAAAATTTGACTTTGTTTAAATCACGAGCACGTGTTACCGCTGTAAAAATCCATTCTGGATAATTCTTTACCAAAAAATGATTATAATCAAAAATTGTTATGGTGTCATCAATGCTACTACCTTGAGTAGAATGACATGTAGAGCAAGAAGAAAATATAAAATTGCTTCTTATTTTAGCAATTTCTACGGATTGTAAAATTTCGGTTTTTACATTTTTTAATGTAAATATTCCATCACTTCCAATATGAACTATTTTATATTTGAAATTTACATTAAAAACTGATGTTTTAGTTTTAGTATATTCTCTACAAATTAAAAATTCTCCTACTTCATATTCATCTTTTCTATTTTCTAATTTTCTAATTTCATTTGATACATTTTTACAAGTTGTATTTAAAAATGCTATGTTGTTTTTGGAACTACTTATGTCTGTGGTGTATTCAAAATATTTTTCAATAATAGTTTTAATTGGTAATTTATTAATAAAAATA